CTTCTTTTTCTCTTCATCTCTCTCTCCCTCTCTCCTTTTTCCTCCCTCCCTTTCTCCTTCCCTAATTTAGTCCCTCTTTTTTTTTTTTTTTTTTTTTTTTTGGTTTTTCTCCGGTACCGGGAACTGAACTCATGACCTTGTGCTTGCCAGGCAGGCGCTTTTGCCACTGAGCTAAATCCCCAGCCCCTAGTCCCTCTTTTTCTTCTGGGGATTGAACCCAGGGCCTTCACAGTAAGCTACATCCTCAGCTCTTTTTTATTTTTAGACAGGGTCTAACTCATTAAGTTGCCCAGGCTGGGCTCAAACTTGTACTCCTCCTGCCTCAGCCTCTTGGAGGACTACAGTTGGAGGTGTGCACATAACACTCTTGGTTCTTTTTTTTTTTTTTTTTTTGGTACCAGGAATCAAACTCAGGACCTCAAATTTGCCAGGCAGGTGCTGTGCCACTGAGGCACTCCTGGTTCTTTCTAGCTTTCTAAACATGCTCTATTTCAGCCACACTCAGACTGCAGTTGTGAATCTGAACCACCACTCATAAGGCCTTAGTTTAGAGTAGCCTCTCTTTCATTTTTAGTGACTCCTTATCATCTTTCAAAGCCTGATAGATGCCTCCTCTCGCAGAAGGCCTTCTCTGATTCTCATCCCTAAATGAAAATGAATGCTTATTCTATGTGCTTCTCATTTCATCTGTTACTCCATTTTATAATCACATAGTATCTTTTTGTCTATCTTTCCTTGAAGAATGGGAGCTCTTTAAGGTTGTGTAGGTTTATTACTATGCCTTCCAGGCCTGGCATCAGGCCCATTATAGAGCAATCTGAAGAAAGCTTTGCTGAATTGCCCTGTTGTGAAAAGTATACATCACATGCAAAGATTCAGAGGGCAATTCATGTACAGAGTTATTGGATCACCAGGAGTTCATCACTTAGCACTTATTAGGTGTCACTAAATGCTATGTTTTCTTACATATTCACTTTATCTGCATAACACTCTGATGGTATAAATACGATCACTTTGTCTACATGACCTCAAGGCAACTGAGGCTCAGCGAATGGAAGCGCCTTGCCTAGGGTCTCATATTGAGCTACTGAACCCAGTCTCTCTGGCTTCAAGGCTGGGATTTTGTCCATGGCCTTTTGCCTTTAGCTACCTCACTGTGGCTTCCTCTTGGCAATAACCCGGCAGGGCACCCAATTGTGAGGATGCCTCCCTAAAACTTTCTACCACACCATGTAGGTGGGTTCCCACCCCCACTTACCAAGAAGGATCTGTCATCACATCTCGGCCATCAAAGGAGTATATTGGAACATGTGTATTGAACTGACCTCCATCACCAGAAAAGATTGAGTCCCAATTATTAAAAAGTACTTGGCCCTATGAAGATAAATATCATATTAGAATCATTACGGCAACTGTTGCATTTCCTGTGGAGACTGACACACCCAGAAAACAATGGGAACAGGCTTAGTGTTACCTTGAGATTCACTATTGGAAGGCTGTATCTCTCTGCCTTCCTCACAACTGTAGAGAGATCTTGCAAATGGGAAGATAAGAATGCTCGGAAGGTGGACAATAGTCCTGCAGCCCTGGCCTGCTGGAAGCACTGAAAATCAGCTCGAATGTCCCCAGAAAATGGCATGTTTAGAGCAACCAAGTGCAGCTGAAAAAAATGAGAGAAAAAAACTTGAAGACGATCCCAGCTGTCTTAGGACTGAACATACTGTACATCACAGATCATCTCATTCAACCTGAAGCTTACATGAGAAGTGCAGCCACTGAAGGACCATCCCCAGGGCAGGAAAGTTATGGATCCCCAAGCAACCTGTTTTGGGACTGCTGCATTGTGTAAAATGTCTTCCTTAGATGAGAAAACAAAACAAACCCTGTTTTGATCAAATGAAGCTCTTCATAGATCTGAACCCAGCCTGAAGGGATATGTTTGGGACTACTGGTGTCTCCAGCTCAGTCCCCAGTCGTGGTTTCAGCTGACATTGGTCCTGGATCCCAGAGCTCCTCTGCCTATTTGATGGCCGTGCTTTCTTTAATCTCCTGAGCAGGATTGGGACTGATCACATGAGGGCCCAGGAGCACGGCCTTGAAAGGGAAAGGACATAACACTTACTACTAAGACTGTTGGGACAGGGCTTTCTGGAAACTAGGGGTCATATAGCCATTGTAGCTGTACCTCCTTGCCACCTTGTTCAGTAGCCAAAAATAAAAGTCACTCCACACCTGTTGTCTCCCACACTTTCTTGTCATAAATCCAGTGTCACTCTAATGCCCTCTCTCCCACGTCTTTCTAGAATACATTTCATGATCAAGGAGCATCGATTGTCCCCTGATCTTCACGCTGTCTCAGGAGGAACTTTCATCTCATCACCATAGACCTGGGGAGGGCTGGTGCAAGCCGGAGCTCAAGTCATCAAGGGAAGAAAGTATTTCTACATATTTTAGGCCAAAGAACAGGAAATGAGCCCACAGATAGGCAGGAGGTAGTAGGTGTCTCTCTCCCTGTTTCTGTGCTCTCAGACCAGAACAAAGACTCTGTATGTCCCAGCAATCAGTGTCACCATGTTGTCCCTCTCCCATTTTCTAAGCTTCCCAGCCATTGGCCACAGCTGGGCCAGTGTTACAATGGCAAAGACAAGTTACAATGTCTTGAATGCCCCACACCACCTTTGCATTTCTGGGCACATTTTTCTCCACTCACCACCCTTTTTCTTTCATTCTGCACAGGACAGACTCCAAGCCTGCTGCCTCACCCATCTCTTTTTACTTATCTTGCTTCTTCCATTATTACCATGCCATATAGGGGCTCCAAGCCAAACAGTACTTCCTCACCTCTTATCTTGCCCCGATTATCCTGAGGCTTCCCCAAAAGGCCTCCCAGTATCAGAGTTTAATGCTGTACATCACCAGCCATTAGGATGGGGATGGGGCTTCAGCATACTGCCTACCACAACCACTTCTGGGCCGCCAGACTTAAAACCTCCACCCCACGAACAACCTGACCCTGGCTGCCTCTGTCATCTGGCTGAATTGTCATGCCTTCTCCTTCATGTATCTGGGGAATCTGGCCCCGGAAGGAAGGGTCCTGTGGTCTCATCACCCTCTGAGCAGTGCACATCTGAGGGTGCATCCAAGGGCATCCACAGAGGCCTTGATGGATGAGACTTCTCTAATCCCAGGGGCCACCTAAGAATGGTCTGGGGTCAAATGCTGGCCTCCCCGCCACACTTTTCATCTCTACATTCGTCCCCTCTTCCCTTGAGGAGACAGACAGAGAAATGGCTGGAATCATGGTCACTTCCAAATGATGGGGTTGGGGCCTTGTTCTGTCCTGTTTCTATTTCTCCAGTCGCTGGAACATTTTCCTAATGAACATATATTACTTTTATGAAGACAAACATTCTATGACTATTAAATGGTAAGATGGCTACTGTGAGGGTACTGCTAGTTTTGTTGAAATTATAGATAATTTACTGTTTTCCTCTTCGTTCTCTATAGACACTGTCACAGTTTACTGCAGTGAATGTATATTACTTTTGAATGTATAAAACACTATTTAAAAATTTCATGAGCTACCACCCTAAGGCTACCTCTGGAGCCTTTTGGAGGGTTACCTGTACCTGCTTCTCTCTTCCCTTGCCTCTCATTTTTCCTTAAACTGGCTAGAATCTTGTTGGTCACTGAAACATTTTGCTATAGTTTTCAAATTTGAAGGTTGTGATTTATTTTATTTATTTATTTATTTATTTATTTTTCTGTTTATTTATTTATTTATTTATTTTTCTGGTACCGGGAATCGAATTCACGACCTTGCACTTGCCAGGCAGGCGCTGTGCCACTGAGCTAAATCCCCAGCCCAATGAAGGGTGTGATTTAGTTCTGTTAACCTCCTGGCAGGTTAGTGCCCAGTCTGCATTCTTTCTTCCTTGCTGCCTATGGCTTCTCAGTGTCTTTTTCATATTTCTTTCATCAGTTCTGTTTTGCTCCGCACAGTCCAGTCTCCCATGCTCATAACAATTGCCATGGCTCTGCTAGAGACTCCCAAATATGTCTCCAGACTGGGTCCCACCACTGGCTTCCCATTTCCTCCTGGCGGTCTCATCTCGGTTGTTTGTCAGGCACCTCAGACATCCATCACGCCCGAGTGAGGTCTTCCTTGGAAATGGCAGCGTTACAGGAAGCTTCCATCTTTTGCCTGTCAAACCAATGCCTGACTCTTTGAAACTTTCTCCATTAAAAGCAGTGCCCTTTGGTCTTCCATTTTATTCTCCTGGTTTCTGTGGATTAGACTGAGAGTGGGAAATTGACCCGAGAGACCACAAAGATGCTCTCTCCTAAGACATAACTGAGTCAGGTGGTACAGGGCTCTGCAACCAGATAACCACATAGAATTGGGGCCAGAATCAGTGCACAGGCAACCAGAGCTGTGTGCAAGCTCATGTAACTTTGTGTGTTGGATTGGAGGGGAGGCAGGAAGAGAGACTCTTGCACAAGGAAGAGTATCTTTCCTTAGAAATAGTAAAGCAGAGAAAAAGCAGAGACAGGAGACTTCCTGTAACTGAGTTCCACAAGTTTCCTATAATGATTTACACGAAGATCAATAAGGTCTTTATTTGCTAAGATCTTTATTTAAGTTGGCAAAGGAATAGAGTGAGACTTACGAACCCCAATCAAGTGAGATGAGCCCTGGGAAGGAACCTATGACCACTTGGTTATCCAAGCTGAAACCTGGCCATCATTACTAATCTCTGTCGTCCTCATTGCACCATACCCCATCAGTGACTAAGCTGGTCACTCCTGTCTCCTTCATGTCTTTTCAGTCTGTCCATTTCCCCACATGTTCGCTGCCGTGACCTTAGTTGAGAAAATACCGGAACCACCAAACTAATCTTTGGACCCTGGCTCCTATCTTCTCCAATCTGTTTGCACACTACAACCAAGATAATTTCTGAAGTGCTACTCTTATCATACACCTTTCCAACTTTAAACCCACCAGTAGCTCCCCATGGCCCTCAGAAAAGGGTCAAAGTCCCTACATTGGTGTATAGGCCTTTCATGACCGGCCCTTGCCTTTGCTGAGCTATGCAATTTAAACTTCTCCTTTCTCTGCACTGAAATCTACTCCTTTGGCCAGACTGAAATGCTTGCAATCAGCGCTTCTCCCTGCTTGCCTCCCTCTGTTCCATCTTTCCTCTACCTAGAGCCTGCAATCCCTTTTTCCCAAATGGCGTACTCCCTAACTGATAGTCCTCTAGGCCTTAATTTAGTGGTCACCTCCTTGAGGTCCAGATCATCTCTTCTTCAGCCCTCCCTGTAACTCCACAATCTTGTGTTTGCCTTGCCCAAAGTTTCTGTACTGCACTGTAACTGCCCACATTTTATTTGCCTTGTCACTGGTCTATAAGCATCTTGACAGTAGGAAATGTGTACTTAGTCCAAGGCCTAGCAGATAGTAGATGCATTCAGTGTTTGCAAAGAAAATGTAAGAATTGTACTTACAGCAGGACTCTCATAATTGCCACTTAAAATAGGGTTCAGTGGAGGCTGGAGCTGATATGACTGTTATGTAAAGGGAGAAAAGAAACAGTTGTGAATATGCATTCAGTCTGTTCTTCATAGTACAGTGAGGCTCAAGTTCAGTGTTTCTTGGGAAGACATGTTAGTTTGTCACTGTCTTAAACTTGGCCCCCTTTGCTTTCTGTCCTCCTTCCTCCCCCTCCTCCCTCCCTTCCTTTCTTCTTTCTTTTTCATTACTGGGGACTGAACCAAGAGCCTCTGCACTGAGCTACATCTTCAGCTTTATAAAAATTTTTAATTTTGAGACAGAGTCTTGCTAAGTCACTAAGTTGCTCAAGCTGTACTCAAACCCAGAATCCTCCTGCCTCAGGTTCCCAGAGTGCTTGGGTGACAGGCATGTGCCACCACACCTGACTTAACTGCAACTTTTGACTGTTGAAGAGTTTCATAGTTAAATGTAAAAGTCATCCTCAGAAATGGAAGGGATGCTCTCAAGACCTTAAGGAAGATCCTTGAATCGAGGAAACAGAGGACCCGTGCTAAATAAACAGCACATTCACTTAACAGAGCAAGCCACATCTCCAAAGCCTCAGTTTCACTGTCTGCAAAATGGCGATGACAGTAGCTGCCTCATATGGTTGCAATAGGACTCAATGATAGATCATGTCAGTAACCCATTTCTTATAAGGCAGAAAATGTCAAAAATTAAAGGGGTCTTCTAGATTGCTTGAGCCAATTAATGATTTCACAAATAGTAAACTGAAGCTAAGAGAAAGAAAACCCTTGCCCAGGAAGACTGATAGGACAGGAGGTGCCCAGCCTCTGGGCCCTGTTCTCCCTCTTCTCTAGTCTGAGAACATTCCATTGGCACCCAGTGATTTCTAAGCCATGCAGTGCTGGCTCCTGAATTTGGAGAGTTGATACTGGCTGCCAAGAGGCACTCAGGAAGTTGATTAATGAAGAACCAGGGCCAAGGCGGGGGCACGACTCACATTGCTGGAAAGCGCAGGGGGTGGAGGACTGTCGGCAGGGATGGGGATCAGTTCTCCCAGCTTTAAGGAAAAGAGTGCATCGGAAATGAAATAACAATTAGAAACTGTGCATCTATTTTCAAACTGGAAAATGTTTACCAGAGTGTCTTATTATTTTTAGAGAAATTTGGAAGCAGTTTGTGAAAGGAAGTTTAAGAATTACCTGTAATTTTTTCCAGCCATCTCGAACACGAATGAAGAATTCTGTGCTGTCCCTCAGGTAGATGAATGTTCCTTCTATGACCAAATGTGCTTTCTGCAGCATGTCGTCCATACTGCTGAACGCTGTGACCTGTCAGAGCATTTTCAATTCCAAACACTGATGTTATCATTAGAATACAGCCGTGCCCTGTGTAAAGCCAACGAGGAGCTGGGAACTCATATCCAGTAAAAAGGCTTACTGTGTCATACATTCTTTAATAACTAAAGGACAGTCTTCGTGATGAAACAAAAACAAGTATTACCTTGAAATACAAATCTAAGTTTTGTAATCAGCGAGTTAAAGCACAGCAAATAATACTCTGTAAGTGCGAAGATGTAACAATCGAGTTGTCTTTGTTGGGTTTTGGTATTAGCAAAACCGCCAGCAATCTTTGCCGCTTCTATTTCTTTAAAGCGGCTTGGTGGCACTAACTCAATGGTGTCATCTCCTGCTGCTCTGTAACAGGTTTCAAATTTGTTTGCATGTGGAATTAGAAATGCAGGCACAGAGGCAATTATAGTTAGGCCTTAATTTTTTGCCTAGCTGGGTAATTACAATATTTACTACATGGTGGAAAATGGAGGCCTGCAATTTCTGTCTCAAAAACTGCCAAAGATTAGACAGCCACTTAGCATATTTAGAAGCAGACTTGGAAGCTGCATAAAGTCTACTAAGTAGCTCCCAATTTTAAGGAACTATCAGCAAAAAGAATTTTTATTTTAGCTGAAAAAATTATAAAAATTAACTTTCCTCTCTCCTCAAAGTTGACTATATGCATCAAAATAGTTTATAAGTTCCCCCCCCCACCAAGGAATCAAATATCAAAATTTCATCATCTGATAGACAGACTTTTTGTTGTTGTTGTTGTTGTTTGTTTTGTTTTGTTTTCTTTTGTTTGGCAGTTAGTTTTTCTGAGTAAAATCCAGTAAAGACCAAAGGGCATTCCCGGGACTCCTAATATCCCCTGGACGTGTTCATCCACCTTTCTGTGCATTATCATAACCTTGGCATGCCTAACCACACCCTGCCTCCGGGAACTGCAAGATGGTGACATCTTTTAGCAGAATAATGAAGGCAGAAAGACCTAGAGTAAATATGACCAGCTTATAACACCTACAATGATAATGTTTGCACACTTGTGCTTATTTTTTAAAAATATATGATTACATCTTGCTATATAGCTTAAGCAATTAAAGATTCACAGGGTAGAATTTCAAGTTGACTTACTAAGTAAAGATGAATTTCTGTACATCTTTACTTAATAAGTCAACTGAATAGATAACAAATTCCTCTCCACTGTTTGTGGAATTGCACCAGTTCTATTGTCACAGAGTCCTAATTCCAAAATAAAAGGAATGCCAGCCCTTGAACATTGTGGCCAAGTTTTAACAAGATCCATCCATACCAGAATGGTGATTACACAGTGATAGTGGCACTGACCAGATTCCTGGATCCGGGAAGCCCTGGCTGTCCTGGAGGGCCAGGCGGGCCTGGAAGGGCCACAGCTAAGACGAAGCAGAAAACAAAAGTCACAAAAAACATATTCCCTGAAAAATGTTCCACGTGCCAGGCGACCACTGAGAGGAGTGTTCACAACCCCGCTCAGTGCGGCAAGAAATCCCACCTGGCAACTGTGTGCTGGGGTTCCAGACCCAGCGTGTGACTTAGGCCACACTGACTGGGTTAGGGAAGAGGTGGGGCTCTTTCAGTGCCATCCCGGATCAATCCATGCATGCCTAAGACTTTTCAGGCTTATAAGTCAATATGTTCCTTTTGTTGCAGTTTGTAAAAGCCAGTTTTAATTAGATTTTTTGTCACCTGCATCCAAAAGTAGCCTGATTCATACAATTTACCTTACCCAAGAGACAAGCGTGTGACCACTGAAGAGGGGAAGTGGGCTCAGAAAGAGGAAGAGAAGGGGCTAGGCTGTGGGAGGAGGCCGGGGTGTGCAGTAGCAGCAGCAGTAGCTCCGCCCTTGGGGTCTGAGGTATGGACTCAAGTTCCCCGTTTGTCACTTCCCTGCTCTACAATGATGAGGAACAGTAAGCTCCCTGGCCCTGCTGTCTCATCTGTGAGATGTAAATGAGCATTTCTTCTTTATTGGGCTGTGGTAAGAATGAGGGAAATACAAACTCAGAATGTGCTTTGCAAATTGCACCGCATTTAACTAGGGGTTCTTAACTTGCAAAGAGTTGTGGAATTCTTAAAAATCGGATCAAGACTATTGCCCTCTTCCCCAGAAAAATGTATGTGCACACACTCACTTCTACAAGAGTTAGTGGATGACAGATCCCTGAGGCATATTCTTGAACTCTAGGAGTTCATGGTCCACTAACTGAAAAGCCCCTGCTTTAGGTAAACATGTGGAAAAATTATTACTCTGCTCTTCTTCTAGCTCTCTGAAGCCTGTCCCTACTTCCACCTCCTCCACAAAATCTGCAAAGCTCTTAGCAGAGTAAAGGATGTTTTTATGAGTCCTGGTAAAGTCACTGTATGTGATTCTTCAGGTCACTGAGATTAAGTCTTCAGTTCCAGCATGGTATGTGCATGTCCAGACGCAGGTGGTAAATGTCTAGAAAATAGAGGGCTGCGGGTGGCTTGGATCTGAATCCCAGCCATGCCTCCTACTGGAATGTGTGGCCTTGAAGAAGTCGTTTATCCTCTCTAAGCTTCAGTGTCTTCTTCCATGAAATGAGATTTATAGTATCCACTTCATATTCCTCCAGGTTGCTGGGAAGATTACATAAGATGATGGCTATGCGGGTCCTCTGTCAACTGAGACTTGGCATTCATTATGTGAGGGCAGTCCTTATTCAGTGCAGTGAGGCATCCAGGGGCCTCCCAGTGCAGGCGCCACTTTGGACAACAGATTCTTGCAGCCTGTGCTCTCTGCCACATGCCTCCACTTCTTGTAGCTCCCATTCTTGTGCCAAGGCTGTGCGACCCTTCTGGTTTTATCTATCCAGTACCATCATTCCTCATCATCTTCTCTTGAGGTCTCTCCCTTTACCTCTACAACTATCTGGTTCCAGAAAGAGCTATCACGGTTTTTTTTGGTTTTGTTTTTTTTTGTTTTGTTTGAAACAGGGTCTTACTCTGTCGTTCAGGCTGGCCTCAAACTCACAGCAATCCTCCTGGCTCAGCCTCCTGAGTGTTGGAATTGCAGATGTGTGCCACCACGCCCAACCTTACCATGTTCTCATGCAATCCTATTTCCTGGTCATAGGTGATTGGTCCAAGGTTGGCACCTCGCTTAAGTAAGCCAATCATAATCCTTCCCTGGGACCTGCCCTACATTAGGACTTTTCAAACTAAAACTGAGAAGGGAGGTCAAGATTTCTAGCTGGCAGAGGAAGCTGCAAGTTGTCAGTATCAGTAGTCATATTTCCCTTCGTGCAGAGGATGTGGTTTGGGGTGAGGTGAGGAAGCATGAAGTCCATGCACAGAGAGAAGCCGAGGTAAGCGATGGCCTGAGAATCCTCATGGAGGTCAAGTCCTTGGTACTGGTCTTTCTGGAGTTTCAGCTGCCTGTTCTCCCCACAGACTGATTGTTCACTCTCTCCTCCACAGCTAATAAATTTCCCTTTTGCGTGAGCTACCTTGAGTCATGTTTCTCACTTGTAACCAAGAAAGCCAAGGTTAAGCCACAGCCACAGCAACAAGGTCACCTCCTGTGTAAAGCTCTCTGATGCTCTACACTATGTGGATCTCTTCCAGGTATTCCTCCCACGCTTGGCTCATGCAAACCCAGTCAACAAAAAATTACATACTCATGTGTTTATGCTAGTACAGGTTGAAAAACTCTTATCTGAAATGCCTGGAACCAGAAGTATTTCAGATTTATGACATTTTGTAGATTTTGGAATATTTGCATACACATAATGAGATATCTTGGAGATAGGACTAAAGTTTAAATACTTAAGTCGTATGTTTTATGTATACTTTATATGCAAAGATAAAAGTAATTTATACAATATTTTAAATAATTTTGAACATCAAAAAACATTTTGAGACAGGGTCTTGCTGTGCAGCTCAGGCTGGACTTGAACTCACTTTGCAGCCCAGGTTGGCCTCAAACTCACAACAATCCTCCTACTTCTACCTCATGAGTGTTGGGAGTACAGGCATGCACCACCACATCCTGCCCCCAAATTTTCAGGTGTAGAATTTTCTTCCACTTGCAACATGATGTGAATACTCAAGAAGTTTCAGATTTTGGAATGTTTTGGGTTTGGGGTCAGGGATGTTTAACCTGTAGTATTATTGCCCACCTTGTACATAGTAGAAGTGATACAAGCTTTGAAGCAACTATGATCTGAATCTTAAACCTCAGGCTAACCACTTTAACCACGTGACCTCATTAGGATCCTAAATCTCTAAGGTATCACTTTCCTCACCTGTAAAATGAGAATGCAAATAGTTTTCTTGAAGGGTTGTTGTGATAGTCAACAAAATACTACAGTAAAAGGATTAGCAAAACTCAATGCAAGGATATTTTCTTTAATTTCAATCATTTTGCATTTGTAAGGTTTCAGGGGATGAGTCCATTTTTACACTGAGAGTGAAGAGTCAGTGCTGGTCCTTAAGTCAGGTTCTCAAGTCCCTAGGGCAGTGCTACAGCTACCAGGAAGGTTCCACTGTATATGAAAAGATGCTCAAATACAAAACCACAAGCTGGGCATGGTAGTGCATGCTGTAATCCTGCACTTGGGAGGCCGAGGCAGGAGGATCGCTGCAAGTTCAGACTAGCCTGTGCTAAAAAGTGAGCTCAAGGCCAGCCTGAACAGCATAGTGAGACCCTGTCTCAAAAAGACCAAAAAAAAAAAAAAAAAAAAAAAAAAAAAGGACAAAACCACAATGAGATACCACCTCGCACTCATTAGGATGAATAGAATAAAAAAATGTAATAAATAATGTGTTGGTGAACATGAGGAGAAAGTTGGAACCCTCATGCACTATTGGTAGCATTATAAAATATTGTAGATATATGGTTTGGAAAATGGTTTGGCAGTTTTTCAAAAAGTTAAACACCAAGTTATCATATGACCCAGCAATTTCACTCCTAGGATATGCCCAAGAAGACGGGAAACATATACAAAAAACCTTGTACACAAATGTCCATAGCAGCATTATTCATAAAGGCTGAAAAACAGAAGCTACTCAAGGGTCCATGAGCAGATACGTGAATAAACAAAAACTACAAGTATTTATACTTGTATTTATACGATGGAGTGCAATTTGGCTATAAAAAGGAATGAAGTGCTGATACATATGTGAACATGGATTCGGCTTGGGAGCAATATGCTAAGTGAAAGAAGCCAGACCCCAAAGGCAATGTACTGTATGATTCCATTTATATGCAATGTCCCAAACAGGCAAATTCAGAAACAGGAAGTAGATTAGTGGTTGCTGAGATCTGGAACTGGGTAGGGAGGTTACTAACTAGTACAAAATTTCTTTCTGGTGTGATGAACTGCTCTTGGCTAAGGCTACCTGATCCTGTGAATGTGTTAAACACCACTGAACTGTACCATGTGAATTGGTGAATTTTTTGACGTATGAATTGTATCACAATTTTTAAAAAAGAAAAATAAAGGAAGTTCCATCTAGCGAACAGCCTTCTGTTAGGCAGTGTGGCTCTGACAAGACCCCCAGATGCAGTGACCCTGAGCACAGATGGGGGAGGGGTGACACGCATGAGGGGACCACTCTCAGTACTAACCTGCACCCAGGATAGCTGGAGGTCCTGGTGGCCCAGGGGGTCCTGGTGGCCCAGGGGCACCAGGTCTTCCAAAACCAGGTGGCCCAGGCAGGCCAGGAATTCCTGGGGGTCCTTGGGGTCCCATGATAGCCTCCCCTTTCTGTCCCTGTGAAGCACACAGTACCGGGAGAAAGGACCATTACTCCCTGGACATCCACATACTCCTTTTTTTGAGAACACTTGTAAACAAAGTGAATTCCAGATATTATCATATTCACAATCCTGGGCACTGCTTCAGGGGGTGGCAGCCCAAATAAACAGCAGCTTTGGAGTCATCAGGGCCCTGGAGATCACCTAGTCTGGTCCCTACATTTTATAGATGAAGGAATAAAGAGGAAAGGACTTGCCCCAAATCCCACTGCAAATTAGGAGAGCAGCTAGAAGTACACCCCTGATCTCTGCCTTTGCTCATTCTACCAGCAAAGGAAGCTTTGGAGCCAGTGTCAATCCCCTGGTTGTGAGGTCAGTAATTTGGTGATCTCATTAGGAGCAAGGCTTCATTTTTTTTTTTCCTTGTGGCTTGGAAACCCTCTCATCCTAAGAAGACCAACTCTGTCTAGGAGCTCCATCTTTAATAAAAATTCAGAAGAACCACAGAGCCCTTCTAAAAATATCACCCTCACTTTTCCTTCTGCCTCCATTACCTGATCTGTTCCCAATAATAATTCTTTGTATCAATCAAATTTTTCCACCACTTAGGTTAATAAGGTATAATGTGGTTAGTGCCTGGAAGTTAACTAACTGTATATAGCCTGGACCACCTCCCCTTCCCCCACAGGCCTCTTCCAACTTCCCCATCAGTCAACAAGCACTGAATTGGAGGAGCTGGTCTTTTCTCTGTCCTGTCTCCAACTTGACTGATCCTTAACTCTCTAACTGCCCAATCCTAATGGGAGCTTCAGGGAAAGCCCTAAGTCCTTGTGGAAAATGACTTGGAGGAGTCACTACTCACAGCCAGGCCTGGATTTCCCGGCAGGCCCGGAGACCCAGACACAAAGAAGTTCTCATTAGAGTCTCCTTTTTCTCCTTTGAATCCCCTGTCTCCATTTTCCCCCTGGAAGAGAGAACACAGAAATATTTCAGTAAGACTGAGACAGATTGTCTCCTGCATAAACCAAAGAAGTTGGAAACAGAGGTTCTGATGGTTTGAATGTATCCCCAAAATTCTCCCAAATGTCATGTGTTGGAAACTTAATTCCTAAAGTCATATGTTAACCTTTGGGAGATGATCAGGACATGAGGATTTTAGATTCATGAACCCATGGGGTATCTAGGGAGTGGCTTTATATAAAAGTGATCCCTCTCTGGCACACTTGTCTGTCTGGCTGTGTGATGTCCTGCACCACCCCAGGACTCTGCAGAGTCTCCAGCAACAAAGCAGCCTTCACCAGATGCAGTCTCTCAACCTGAACTGTGAGCTGAATGAACCTTTATTCTTTATAAATTATAGCAACCAAAAACTGACAGAGGCCAAATGTTCAGTAGAGAATATTCACCTTCAAGCTGTTCAGAAAATGTCTCAGGTAAACTGGATCAACTGGTGGACCTGAAGAAGAAATGTTTCATAAAATTTACAGTCACAGTTTCAGAAAGTTAAAACAAGGGTCTCCCAGTCGGTAACAATTAATTTCCTAGTGTGAGTAATCCTACATTAGTTGAGTTAACAATAGGGTTGGCCCTGGGCTTAGAGGTAGTTGTCATTCTAGCCCAGGCCCACCCCCCCAGACACTGTGGGATCCCGGACAAGTCCCTGGGTCTCTTTGGGCCTTGTTTTGCACTTGAACTATGAATAAATGGACATCATAGTCTCTCTTGACAATGCTCCATCTTGGACACGCCAAGCCCATGACTGGATCTCGCCAGAACTCATAGTAGATTGTGGTCAGGGAGGTCATGGGTTAGTCTTACTCTCCGACTCAGCTACATTTCTTAGGAATAAAAATTAAAGACCCTGAATAAGATCTGGATTACCTGGTGGTCCCTGGGCTCCTTGGTCCCCTTTTTCTCCTTTTGAGCCAGGAAGACCCCAGGATCCTTTCTCTCCTTTAACACCTATCACCAAACACACACAAACACATGGAAGAAAAAAAGATAGTGGAAAATCACCATCATTCTATATAAAACCTTTCTCAGACAAGTTTTCAAACTGAGCCCCAGTAACAAAGCCTATTCAAACACACAAAGGCCTCCGGAGAAGTCAGCAGATATAAAATCCTTCACTAAAAGATGAAGAGGACAGCAGTAGACATCAGACACAATTCCTGACCTTGAAAAGCTCAGCATAGTTGGGGAAACAGACGCAGCTCAGGGTAATGCAAGGCAGAAGGAAACACATACTGTCGTGGAGAGAGCAACATGGTCCCATGAGGCCCAGCAGGGGCTACAGTGAATTCTCCCTCAGATGGCCCCACAAGTGTAGACTGAGGCTCCACGCTAGATCAATCGTCCAGTCTCAGCTCACCTAGGCCTACGCAGCATGATGCTGTGAGCAGCACAGGGGACTCTCCAAGGGGCGACCACACAGGGCAGCTAAGGGTGCTAGGGATTATGAAGTTGAGGGAAGGGACACCAATAGCGCGCAATGCACCTGCCCACAGGAACAGTAAGAAGTGCTGCTCTACAGAATGCCTCACGTGCCCACTTTCTCCCCAGCGCTTCACAGGGAGGGGAGCCTTCTGGGAGATCAGCCCTTGGGATGGGAAGTGACCCTCCTACCCCCTTTGATGGATGCAGGGAGCATGAGAATGTCAAATTCCTGGCCCCCACGAGGTGTGACAGATAAACCTTTCAATGCTATTGAGCTTAGAGATGGGGTCACAGAGCATAGATAAGCTTTGGGGGCTTGGGATTCTCCAGTGTGGAAGAAAGACTGTGAACATCAGAGGTATGACAGTCCCCACCGGGGCTTAGCAGAGAAGTACAACCACATCTCTCCAGGCCCCACCAGTAATCAGGGATTTGCCTGAGACTAAAGGTCTGAGCACCAGGGTTTGCGAAACCACCACTGAGACCACAGCCTGTGGTGTCAGAAAAGAGGACAGTGAGCTCCCCACACACTCCAGGCTGCTCGCCTGAGGGGTCAGCAGTAACGCCCACAGGTAAGTAGGAGGACAATCGCTCACTAGGGTCATCACATCCAGAAAGCTCTGTTCCCTCTGCTCCTCCCAGAGGAGCCCCCACCGGACAAGGGAATAAACGAGGATCTGAGAAAGCAAACATAGCCCTACCCCCTCCTCTCCAAGGTCCACCTGGCACCAAGGGACAGGAAAGCCTTGAATAGGATCTGAGCACAGAGTCTGAAAACAACCTGGACTTGGCAACCAGAAATAACAGAAAAACCACAGGGCCTCACGTGATCAGGGAGACACCACCTGGTGCTAGGGTAACAGCCAAGCTGGAAATGAGTACTAGGACAGAAAAAGGACTTTCCCCTGTTTAAGCTGCAAGTGTTTGCACTCCTCAATCAAAAGGAGACACAGGGTGTGTGGAGTCCAGAGTTATTGCTCATTTATAGATCCCTGCTCCTGGCTTATCCCTCTCTGATGTGCCCTAGAGAAGTTCCCACATGTAGCCATGAACATGCCGCTATTTCCTAAACCAACTGTCAAAGCCAGTGCTTCGCACATCTTCCTATGTGCACCTGTCACCGGGAGCTCAGTGGGAACAGGTTCTGACTGGAGAGGTGTGGGCTGGGGCCTGGGGTTCTGCATTTAGAACAAGCTTTGTGGAGATGTGGATGCTGCTGGTGTATGAACACTGTGAGGCCAAGGTCTTCCGAGCTCTCACAGCTCTTCCCTGTCTTAGCTCTTGGTATCTTGTGCTACTATTAGTTTTTAATAGTTACGTTCACCTAACAGAGTCCAAAGGCCTGGAAAACAGGAGTGGCACAGGATTCAGCTGTCTCGGCCCAGTGCACAAGATAACACCAAGCAAGGAGCTGGCGTTGGTGAACGTTTTAGGAACAGATTAACAAAAGAATAAACAAATGAAACACTTCCTGATGACTGGGAGGCTTACGCAAGATGTGTAGAATGGATAGATGTGAGACAAAAACCAAATGGAAGTGTCCCACCCTACAGCCTTGGCTGAACTCTCACTCCTCTTGCCATACATGGTCAGATCTTCCTGACCGCTGCCTCTGTGCCCAGCACCGAACACATGAAAATCATCTTCTTCAGAGACACAAAGTCAGGAAATGTCCCAGAGAAACATCCAGTGGAACAAGTGTGTACCGTGGAAGGTGATGAGTTCTGGATCCCCAGGATGTGCGGTTCCGACCTGTAATGAGACAATGGCTGCGTCAAACATGGGAACCCTGCCTGGGCGGTAGCAATGGTCAGGCAGCCACTGTCCCTGGGGAATGTGACAGAAGAGGCAGTGTCGAAGACCCCAAAATCCCTGATCACACAAATTTCAGGTCTTCAGTTGGGAGGCTTGTCCTTTAGCTGGGATAGAGTAGACAGAACTGAGAGCCGTTGGCCAAAACAGCTCAGCAGAGGGGAAGCCTGAGGCTTTCAGACAACAGAGCATGGCAGCAATGAGCATTCTTGACCTTGTTTCTTATCAAATGTTCACTTTGATTCATGCAAGAGATCAAGGACCCAAGCCAGGAACACATCCAGTGCTGAAGCCAGGCCAGCCAGCAGTTTAGCCACTGTGTGTAATCAAAGATGGGAGTAAGGAACAGGTGCTGACAGTAGTAGTAGTTAACCATGAGGCTATAATTAGACTGGGGGGGCCTATTCTGGACTCCCCATGAAGTGCCAACGTATGGAGTCCAAGCTGTTCTAGATATTTCTTCCAAGATTCCTGCGTTCCCTTACCATTATTTGGACAGCCCTGCCTGCCACCTTGTATTAAACATTCTACTTTCACATTTTTCTTAGTTGATATGTGGACCAAAGAGATCCAGCAGGCATTAGGATCCTTCTATGCTGATGGATAGGGTCTGCAAGCTGCTCAGAAGTTGCCAAGAAAAGATGGGGGAAAGAAGAAGAAATCTTCACCAAAAAACACTTCTAAGTTAAGGATGAAGGCTGCAGCGCCAAGCTGATTCTGCGCAGTAGTGCTGATAAGTTCCTCCATCACAGGTGTGAGCTGTAAATTGCTATGGTGTCAGAAGGGCTGAAATTAGAAGAGATTTGTGAAATGCTGGAAGCATTTCGGTTTGAAAATGTTCACCTTGAGAGCTGGTCAGAAAATGTCCATGCCCTAGTTCCCATGGTGTTCAGCCAGGCACCATGAAATAAATAACTCAGCCAAAAATGCTCAGAGCCCATGAAATTCTTTTAAGTCCTGTAACTCCATTCTCCCAAAGGCCACTGCTGCTGTAAAAGGTCCTAGCATAGGACATGGTAATCGCAGTAGTATTTTCACAGCACCCAAAAGTTTGTCAAGTGCTGTCTCATGGTTGGCCTTATTAAAGCCTGAGATAATGAAAGTTGGGTGAGGCTTCTGACCCTCAGCACTGTAGGACCCACGACTAGCCCACTGCCTCTTGGGCTCTGGTCACTTCTGCATGTTAATGAGTACACATAGCAGTTCCTCGGAGGGTCCTGCCGGCACTGTTGCTCTTTGTTTCTCTTCAGGCCATCGATATAAACAAGCCCTGGGTTGCTGCTGTCCTCACATGCAGTTGGGAACCAGCAGTCCCCTCCACCACCTTACATGGGTGGATTTGCTCTCTGCCCTCCAGACCAGAGCTTCTGGGCCCTGGGTTGCACACTTGAATGCCTCAAAGGCCAGACATGGATTCAGGTCAGGGGAAACAGCCAAACTGCATCATTTTCACACGTTGGAGCCCGGTCTCATCCCCGCCTCCTACAGGCATCAATGACAAACCACTTCAAACACTATTTCTGCATTGTAATTTGCACACTCCAGAGAGCAGAGACCACGCCTGTCTAGTTCACTGTTGTATCTCTGGGGCACAGCAGAGTATTCAACACTGGGGAAGTACTCAATAAATATTTGCTGAATGAATAAGGATGATTATATGCTATTTCATGACTCATGCCTGCACATAGAGACTGGCCCACCATCCTAGGTTTCCCCACAGAAGTAAGACTGTCTTAATAACATGGGTGAAACCCCAGAGATGGTGCTGCTGACGGGCTGAGAGGCCAGGTAAGCACGTCTGCACTTGCTGCTTTGTAGTCAAGAGACCTGAGTTATGGTCCCAGCTCCATCATGCCCTGCAACCTTGGATCGGCCAGTGAGCTTCTGTGAGTCACAGTTTGCTTCCTCATGATAAGGGGAGAGAGATCAGCCCTGCCTCACTGGGCTATGCACAGTGATCACCGGCAAGGGCAAAACATAGCAGTTATAGATCTTAGCCCTTAAGTTCTCTGTGTAGAGACCACAGGTTAGCATTGGGATTTGTCTGTTTGCAGTGCTGGGGACTGGACCTAGGGCCTCCAGGATTCTAGGCAAGCATTCTGGGTCTATTTTCCTCAATTTTACTTGCTCTGAGCATGAAGTTAGCATGACCATACTAAAAAGACACTGCTTTCTGACCAAAGCCTATTCCTAGAGACAGTGGCTATGTGCTACTTACTGGCATTTTGCAGTGTGGCCGGACAGGTACTGGGAACACAGCCTGTGAGAAATAGAACAAGAGAGGTGAGGCCACCAGGACATCTCACTCCAGCTTAAGGCGGTGTGGTACCCACTGCATGATCTCCCTCACTCATCTCCCCGGCCCCATTCCAACTTACTCCTTTGATGTTAATCACAGCTCCAGGTGGTCCAGGGGGGCCTGGAGGACCAGGCTGGCCAGGTGGACCCTGTAGAGAGAAAAGATAGGATAGGCCATGTCTGAATTCAAGAATGTGGAGTCAGTGGCAGGATACTTTCACCTGGTTCTGAGCAGGCACAGTACAAGGAAAAGAGGGCCTTCAGTCTGAAAGTAATCAACTTCCCCTCAGATAGGCCAGCCTTGTCCATAGAGCACTTCTACATTCATAACTTCACTGTGTCTTCATAACAAACTGTGGAGAAGACAGCAGAGCAAGTACTGTCCCTGGCTGACCCATGCAGATAAGGTGAAGCCACCTGCTGAAAACCGCAGAGCAACTTACAGCAAACAGACTGACTTCCAGAACAGTTCTTGGTTGGTATTATCAGCACATCCCTAGAGTGGAAGTGCCTGGGGAGAGCCTTAGAAGTGCAAAGTTAAGTGCAAAACTCATGTTGGGTAGCACAGTCATTTTCAAAGCCCAGTAGCCTGGCCTTAGTACCATGCAACATCTCTTCTTCCTAGCTGAGAGGAGGACCTTAGGGTCTGAGAGCTGGCGCTCTGAGGGGCACACAGAACGACAGCTACACTGATCACTTTAATGAAGGCACCAGTTTACCCAGCGGTGCCTGTGGGCTACGTGAAAGTGAGTCAGACCTGAAGGCGTTAGGAAAATTGTGTTCTGGATTTCTAGACAAACAAACAGACTGTTGTGCAAAGAGAAGCAGCAATGAACACAGGGCTGTGTTTTCCTGCTGGTTTGTGCCTAGGAGCTAAGTACCTTTGGTGGCAGACTTCATGTCTATAGGCCCATTTACCCTGTGTGAAATAATGATTCTTCGGGAGTATTTCATGGGATAGTTATCACTAAAATGATGTGAGTTATCACTATGAAATGAAATGAAATGAGTTATCACTAAAATGATTACTGTCCTTAAAAGCACTTTGCAAGGAAGAACATCAAGATGGCAGAGCAGTAAGCAGCAGAGAAAGAGCCCCTCTGAGAGTCACCATCCAGACACTAGAATATAGCAACATGTAGAAGACAAGAAGAAGGGAAGTGGGTCCCCTGAACCCAGGAAGGATCTGAAGTGTGAATTGAAGACATGGAGAGAGTGAAGAGAGAAACTTAAATGAAGAAGAAGGAGGTAGCAGGTGGCGCCTTCTCCCTGAGACGAGACTCACGCACGAGAGGAGTGGTTCAAATGTGTGGATACATGGTGACTGCTGGTGACCCCAGAAACCTCCATGGAGAGACACATCAGTGGTGGGGAGCAACAGATGTGAAGGACTGCACTAGCTGGCAGTGAGTTCTGAGGGCTCAATTGTCCTGTGCCAGACAGCAATTGGCTGGAAGCCATCTTGGAGAGGGGCCAGCTGAGCTCAGACCTCAGAATAGCTGTGGGCTCCATCTAGCAGCTTCCAGCAGGGCTCAGGCCCACAGAAGGTGTGCTGATGGTTACAGGCCAAATGAGTCTGGTCTTAGCCAGAAGGTGTAGGCTTGCTGAGATTATCCACTACCCCACCACAAGGTTACTGCTGGCTTGCTGGGATAAATCAACACAGATCAGGACTCTGTCCCCACACATTATCTACCAGTGACAGCAGACACATACCTAGAAGAGGACTTTCTCTCTTTCTCTATCTCTCTCTTTCTCTCTGTCTCTCTCATTTGTTTTTGTTGTTGTTGTTGTTGTAGTGGTTTTGTTTTTGTTTTTGTTTTTCTCCTCATTGTTTGATCTTGTTTTTATATGAGGTGAATGTGGTGTCTAGCCTCTTTGCGGTTGTGGTTCTGTTCTGTTCTTCTTTTTATCTCTCCCTGCTCTCTTTCCCTCGAGTCTTCTGCACCAGTTTCCCAAAGTTAGCAAGATTCCCCCTTTGTTCTCCAGCCTTACTTCAAATTTCTTCCTCAGTTTCCACTTTTCTATTTTTTCCCTAGTCCACTTTAAATTTTAACTCCTGAGGGCAAAATTGACATATTAAGGACTTGTACACTGTACATAATTTGCTGGTTTGTTTTAGATTTTGTTATATATACACAAATCTAGTTCATATGGTTAAGGGTGGCAAATTAATGGTTAGCTTAGTCTGTCATTTACTAGGCTGTGTTTGATGCTGTTAAGTCATTGCTGATGATACCACTATTCCCAACAGTGATATAATTGTTCTAAACAGCTGTTCTTTCTGTTGTTCCACAACTGAGATTGACTAAAGGTCACAGAAAATACTGTGGCACAGTGTCAGAGGACCAGGGGCTGGGTCAAACAGGTAGCAATTTCTCATCCCCACCAAATTGAAGAAGTAGGATCTTGCAACAGGCTCAAAACCCAAAAACAAGCTGCATCTGGAAGATAACTCGGAGAGTTAGTCATTTTCTAAGGGTTCTAAACACTAGCAAAAAGCAACCCACCATAGGCAATTTACAAGCATTACCCCAAGAATTAAACTAAAAAAAAAAAAAAAAAGGATATGAGAAGACACTCCAAAATATTTTGAAGGATATTTTAGAAAGAGATAACAAAGACTACAACTCCATGAATACCAACAGAAGGAATCTATCAGGCAAGGCAAACAGAGGGAGGGGGAAAAAGAGAGGGAGCCAACGATAGGAAAATAACATGACAAGGATAAGTCAATACATAGCAGTTATAACCGTCAATGTTAATGGTCTCAATTCACCAATCAGAACACACAGACTGGCAGAATAGATCAAGAAGCAAGATCCAACAATATGCTGCATACAAGAAATACATGTAATACAAAAAATTCATAGACTGAAAGTCAAAGGATGGAAAACAACATTCCATGTGATAGGAACCCAGAAAAAGGCAGGAGTAGCTGTTCCATTTGCAGACAAAGTGAATTTCAAGCCAAGACTGATTAAGAGAGATAAAGGAGGTCACTACATCCTTGTAAAGGGAACAATTCAAGAGAAAGAGATAACAATCATAAATATATATGCAACAAATACTAGTGCTCCCAACTACATAAAACAAATATTAATGAGCATGAAAAATCAAATAAGTACTAATACAATTGCTAGGGGGATCTCAGTACCCTAATGTCATGAAAAGACAGATCAACTAGACAAAACAATCAACAATGAAGTATTAGAATAAAAGGACTTAGTAGATGTCTACAGAGTGTTGCACCCCACAACATCAGAATCCACATTCTTCTCAGCTGCACATGGGATGTTCTCCAAAATAGACCACACACTAGCTCATAGAACTTGCTTAAGTAAATGCAAAGGAATTGAAATTATCTAATACATATTATCAGGCCATAGTGCAATGAAATTGGAAATCAATGGCAAAAGAAACTACAAGAACTTCGTAAACATATGGAAATTAAATAGCACCCTCCTGAACAACCAATGGGTCACAAATGAAATTAAAGAAGAAATAACACAGTTTCCACAGTTAAATGATAATGACAATACAGCACACCAGAACATATGGGACACAATGAAAGAAGTCCTAAGAGGGAAATTTATAGCAGTGAATAACCATATCAGGAAAACAGAGCAAGTGCAAATAAACAACTTAATGGTGAACCTCAAACTTCTAGAGAAAGAAGAACAAGCTAAGACAAAAGTTCATAAAGGGAGAAAATTATGAGGATTAGAGCAGAAATTGATGCATTGGAGACTAAAAAGCAATGTAAAGAATCAATGAAACGAAAAGTTGGTTCTCTGAATGATTAAATAAAATCAACAAATCCTTATACAACCTTATCAAAAAAAGGGAAAAAATCGATGCAATTAGGAATGAAAAGGGTGAAATCACAATAGAACTTGTAGAAATCCTGAAGATCATCTATACCTACTTTGAAAACTTGTATTCTAGTGAGATATAAAATGCAGAAGAAAGGGACAGATTCCTAGACACAAATGAAGTACCAAAGATGAATTAAGAAGATATAAAAGTTCTAAATAAACCATTATCAATCAATGAAATCAAAGATGTAATTAAAAACCTATCAACAAAGAAAAGCCCAGGCCCTGATGGATTCACTGCTGAATTCTAAAAAAGTTTAGAGAAGATCTAACACCACTACTTCTCAAACTCTTTAATGAAATTGAAAGAGAAGCAGTACTCTCAAATTCATTCCTGGAATCAAGCATTACCCTGATGCCAAAACCAGAGTAGAACCCAACTAAGAGAATTACAGGCCAATCTCTCTAATGAACATAGATGCAAAAATCTTAAATAAGATACTAGCAAACAGAATGCAGCAAATCATCAAGAAGATTATACGCTATGACCAAGTGAGAGTTATCCCAGGGATGCAGGGATGGTTCAACATATGTAAACCAATAAATGTAATACACTATATTAACAGAGCCAAGCACAAATACCATATGATCATCTCAGTAGATGCAGAAAAAGCTTTTAACAAAGTCCAGCACCCATTCATGATAAAGATCCTACAAAAAATTGGAATAGATGATATTTATCTCAATGTGATAAAAGCCATCTATGACAAACCAACAGCTTATAACATACTAAATGGACAAAAACTGAAATGTTTTTCTCTAAAATCAGGAACAAGACAAATATGTCCACTGTCTCTGCTCTTATTTGACATAGTCCTGGAAACTTCAGCCAGAGCAATTAGACAAGAGAAAGAAATAAAAGGAATAACAATAGGAAAGGAAGTTAAATTATTCCTATTTGCAGATGACATGATAGTAGACACAGAAGACCCTAAAAGCTCCACTAAAAAACTACTAGAGCTAATAAACAAATTCAGTATTGTAGCTAGATGCAAAGTCAACACTCAGAAAAATCAATAGCCTTCCTGCACACAAATAACAAACTCACTTAGAGAGAAATTAGGGAAACAACACCTTTCATAATAGCATCCAAAAAAAATGAAATATCTAGGAATCAGTCTAATAAAGGATGTAAAAGATGTCTACATTGAAAACTACAGTACTCTATAAAAGGAGATTAAGGGGATATCAGAAAATGGAAAGATATCCTTTGCTCTTGGGTAGAAAGAATCAATATAGTGGCAATGGCCATGCTTGCAAAACTGTCATACAGAGTTAATGCAATTCCCAACAAAATTTCAACAGCATATCTCACAGAATTAGAGAAAACAACCCTAAAATTCATTTAGAACTAGAAGAGACCTAGAATAGCAAAGGGAATTCTGGGCAACAAGGGAAAGGCAGGGGGCATCACAATTCCTGACTTGAAATTATACTACAAAGCTAATGTGATAAAAACAGCGTGGTACTGGCAAAAAAAAAAAACCAGATCAATGGAACAAATTAGAAGATTCAGAAACAACTCCAGATATACTCAGGCACCTTATACTTGACAAAGGTGCCAAACACATTCACTGGAAGAAAGGCTCTTTAATAAATAGTGCTGGAAAAACTGGCTGTGCACATGCCGAAGATTAAAGTTGGAACCATATCTTTCACTATGCACTAAATTAAATTCAAAATAGATCAAAGATCTAAATATTACAACAGAAACATTAAATCTTCTGGAAGATAGAATAGGTATAGATAGAAGAAACCACCAACGGAATGAAGAGACAAGCCACAATGTGGGAAAAAATGTTTGCCAGCTGTTCCTCAGACAAAGGATTACTATCAAGAACATATAAAGAACTCAAAAAAGTCAGACCTCCAAAATTTAAAGACCCAATCCAAAAATGGGCATCTGAAATAAATGCACACTTCTCAGATGAAAAAAATACAAATAGCAAATAAATATATGAAACAATGTTCAATATTATTGGTCATTCAAGAGATGCAAATTAAAACAACACTGAGATTCCATCTCACTCTAGAAAGAATGGCTATTACCAAGAAATCAACCAATAACAAATGCTGAGGGGGCTGTGGGCAAAAAAGAACCCTTCTCCACTCTTGGTAGGAGTGTAGAGTGGTGTAACCACTCCGGAAATCAGTGTGGAGATTCCTCAAAAAACTAGGACTGGAGGTTGCATTTGACCCAACTATTCCCTTTCTGGGTATTTTCCCAGAAAAATTAAAAACATCATACCACAGTGATATATGTGCACCCATGTTTATAGTAGCACAATTTGTAGTAGCTAGGTCTTGAACAAGCCAAATGCCCATCAACCTAGGAATGCATAAAAAAGATTTGGTATTTTTAAACAATGGAGTACTACTCAGCCACAAAGAAGGATAAACTGGAGACTTTTATATGTAAATGGATGCAACTCAGGACCATACCCGTAAGTTTAATAAACTAGATGCACATGTGTAAACATCATATTTTCTCCCTAGTGTGAGAAGCTGAAAGAGTAAATAAGATCCAAAATGTACAATAGATATTGTAAAACGGGAAGAAATTTTAAAAGGAAAGAGAAAATATGGGGAATAGAGAAAAGAAGGAAGGGAAAAACAGTGTGTGTGTGTGTGTGTGTGTGTGTGTGTGTGTGTAAAGGATAGTTAAGATAACTACTAATTTTTTTAGTTCATTGAAAAGAAAGGTTTGTGTTAATATTGTTTGGACAATTAAATGCCAATATCTTTAACTAATTTAAAGCTAACAATATTGCAATGTATTAACCATTGGTACCCTCCTATTATCTTGTTTTGAAATTTTTTTCTCTCTTAAATTAAAAAAAGCACTTTGTACAGAATCTGGTACATAGCAGGTGCTCCATAAACACTTCCTCGAACCTGGCCGCGGTGTTTTCCGACTTGTGGAGCCCTCCCTACTTGGCTGATGTGCCACTGATACTTGCTCACAAGCACTGGCAGAGCCCCTACAACCCAAGCAACACTTGGGAGTGTCTATAGGAGGGAAAAAGGGATATTACCCTAGAGTTAGAAGCTTTAGGATTTGGAACTCCATTTCCTAAGCATGCTCAGATACATGTCTCCCTCCTTCCTTCTTTCTTTCTCAGAGCTGCATGAAGAGGTTGATGCCCCACCAAAGTGCTCTAGGTGGTAGGGACCCCCCTGAGAGCCAGCTAGGGTACAGAGTCAGGATCAAGGACCTCTGGAAGTGATGTCGGAGGAAGAAGAAAAATTCTGCTTCTGTGGATATCTTGCAAGACCTGTTCCCTTTCAATTTGCTCTGGAAACCAAGGACCCGGCCCTGCGCCCAGGGTGACCTGGGGTGGTGGCGGTCAGTGGTTGTGGCACTCACCGGCATCATGATTCCTCGATCTCCCTTGGCACCCTTGAGGCCATTCAGTCCTGGGCGACCCTGAGACCCACAGGAGACACTTTAGTAAATCCCCTGCCCAGGGACCAGCCAGGCAACATGCCCCACCCTTTGCGTCCAGTTCTAGCAGCACTGATACCTACAGGTCTTCCGGGGAGGCCAAATTCTCCTTTGTGTCCTGGTGGTCCTTTGGGTCCCTAGAGGCAAAACAGACATCAGACTAGAAAACAAGAGAAAGTCAAGGTCCAGAGAGATGGGGGTGCCACGCCTGCTTTAGTGAGCAGCGGTGACTGAACCATGGAGAGGAGAAAGGAGGGCAAGGAACAATTACAGAGTAGCCCTCTGTGCAGCTCCTGGTCTCCTACCTCCCTGTCTCTGCTAGAAGCAACTGCTTAGCCACACCTGACACCCCACTTCCTTCAGGTTCTACCCCATCAAGGCCCTGGACCCTCACCATCAGGGCTGACTAAGGAATAAGAAGTCAGCAGCTCAGAGCCTCAGCGCCCAGGTGTCTGGGTGCAGGGCTGGCTCAGAACGTGGACCTTTACTCTATCTCGTTCATATATCCCAGGGTTCTGCTTGTCCCCCATGTTAAATAACGCAGCCCTGCCTTCCTTATTTGCCAGGTTGCCCAGGATTTGGTACCTGCCCTGGGATTAGATTTGGTTCCTACTGTCCTGAGGACCAGTCTTGGCCTGGCACCCTGTCCTCCAACCAAGTCCTTCAGTGCTGGGTTTCTAGACTCGCATGTTTGTCCAACCACTGCCCTGTTCCAAGCTCCTGCAGCAACTGTCATTCCTTCTGGCATCTGGGATGCAGATCAGCCAGCATCTGGGATACAAAGCCACCACTGCTGGACCTTTCTCCAGAATATGTTTTTCTTTTAATGTGTGTCTTCCCAGTCCTATTTCTGGGTCTGTACTCTCTCTCAGAAAAATGGCAGGTTTAAGCTAAGAGCCCTCTAAGTCTTTTTGCCACCATTAACAGAGTAGCCATGCCTGAAACAACTGCAAATAAACACTGCACTGAAACGGGGTCTGCAATACAGTCCTTATCCACATCACTTCTTAAGGAAGGAGTTAGCAGGGCATAGCCCACTTGTTTGGCAGGTTCTTGTGCAATACTTCCCAGTGTCCATGCGCATGAGAACCACTTAGGTCCTGTTAAAATGCAGATTCAGTGTGTCAGGGCTGAGCTTGAGGCTCTGTGTTTCTAACAAGCTCCCATACAACGGTTGGTGATGCTGGTGCCTGGACCACGCTTTGAATAAAAAGACCCTAGTGCATTTGCAAAGGAGTTGCAAGCTAAACTAGTCACCAGGGCCACAGTTAGCACATATGGCATCTTTATGCAAATTAAAAGGTGCCCTTACTGACTGTGTTTGGCAAGCTGTGCACAAGCTGGCCTTCAGTGGGACAACCGCCATGGCCATCTGCAGCCGCCTGCTGGCCCCATTGCTAGCTATTTGTATTTGCTATGCTACTAGAGGTTACTGAGTAGTTAACCAGTTGTGAACAAGACTCTTCCAGTCTGCCTTAGTTCTCAGCTGTTCTACTCTGGGTATCCATTCCGCTTGACCCAGGGACCATAAGCCTTAGAAAGTCATTTAAAAGATGTGCCTTGGAGAATATGGACCCTTCATCAAGGACATACATCTGTGACACAGACATATGATCCTTTTCCCCTAGGCCTGAGATCCAGCTTCAGCCAAACAAACCCCATATACAGTTCTGCAGCTCATAGTGTCTCAAAAGAATCAAGGGCCGCTTGATCCTTGAAAGCTGTCATGCGCAGTGGAAGAATCTGGATGCAGATTCTGACAGGCTGGCCTGAGACCCTTCATCTGCCACTTACAAGCCACATGACACTGGGAGGTTACTTAACCATTTTGAGTGTTGGTCTCCTTACCTATAAGACAGGTGTTCAAGCTGGGTGCAGTGAGACATGCCTGTAATCCCAGCACACTAGGAGGCTGAGGCAGGAGGACTGTAAATTCAAGTCCAGCCTGGGCAATTTAGCAACTTAGCTAGATTCCCCACACACACATAAATGAAATTAAAAGAGGCTGGGGATGTAGCTTAGTACAAAAGGTCCTAGGTTCATTCTCCATTACCCCTCCCCCTAAAATCCAGCTTAAATAAAAGGGAGCTCTGATATTCAGTCTATAGAGTGGTGAGGATGAAATGTGATGACACATGGGGGGATCAGTACAGTGTCTGACCCACACTGGATGCTCCCCACCTGAGTTGTCTTCATTTTGAGAGAGGTGGGGAGAATGTATGACAGAGCAGTTTAGGGCTCATCCCTGAAACAGTAGTCAGGAAAATTGTCCACACGCCCACATGTGCTGCAGATTCCCAGAAGAGCAAGGCCAGAGGGTCCTATCATACCATCTAGTCTTAATCCTTTCTCTTTTAAGTACACATGGGCAAAGAAAAGTCTGGAGAGAGAAGAGGGAGTGCTCCAGATTTCATAGCAAGCGAGTAGCAAATTCAGGATCCAAAAAGCCCAGAGAGATTGTGTGGGGCTCCTTTGAGGGGTTCCCTGGACATGGGCAGTCTTCAGTGGGCAAGGACTGTGGTATAAATTTGAGAGCTCACCACCACCTGACCCCTCTCTTTCCTGGACACAGAGCTATGGGCTGTCAAAGGCCCCGGAATCTGAGTTCTGGTCAATGGAATGAGCTAGAAGTGACATCTCCCATGGTCTCTTCTCATACCCAACCTCAACCTGCAGGCTGCTGCTGTGACCTTGAATCCACAAGGTGGCAGAGTCATAGCACGGATGTCTCCTGAGTCCTGAGTCACTACTGGGAGGTTGAGGGGCAATAGGGAGCCACCACAGTAGATTTTGCAAGTGTGAGACACAGCTCTTGCTATACTCCCCCGCTGCAATGTTTATGTAACTGCAGTTTGCCCACCCTAATACACACAGATTTTGTCACATCCTTTGTATTTTCATTATGGAGACTATTAGGTTTAACTGAACCAAAGTATGGTACATGCTTCGAAGCCCAGTCCAGTTGCAGCTGAGCAATGCTCTGGCTTACCATTGGTCCCGGGGCTCCATGCAGTCCAGGCTCACCCTAAAGCAGGGAGATATGGACTTGTCACTCAGAGGAACACTGTTGGAGGCACAAAGATAGGAAGCCAAAGAAGACGTGTGCCTTCAGAACCTGGTGACATAATTACCTTTCTCCCCTTCAGCCTTTCCAGAGGAACATCCCCTGTCAGGATGGTGCCTGGCTCACCCTTCTCACCCTGCAATACAGAAAAGCTTTCAGTCAAGTTGGGTCTCCTCCCGCCGCCTTGTCGAGAGGGACGCTAAGACTAGTTGGCCAGTCCTCCATAATCCCTCACCTTCATCCAGACTTTCTGGTCCCTCCAGCCCCGCTGCTCCAACATGAGCTCTCACTAAAGTATCAGACCAGTCCCCTATGAGACTGGATGCTCCCAGCGCTCTTCCCTCTGTGTACCACCAGTCCCTATCCTAGAGCACGGGCCGCGGTCTGCACAGACCTCCAGGGCTCCCACTAATGACATATCTGAACTCTCACTCTCGGTGCTACAGGACCCACCCACCATAGCCCTGTCTGCCCCTAGCCATGTGTCACCCCTGCAGGTACCTCTCACTCCTCATAGGTTTGATGAATTGCTTTCCTAACAACTTGACTTGAGATCTGTCCCCACCGGAAATCCCTATTCTTGTTTAAACAGCTGAAATTGGTAAACAGATGAGGGTGTAAACACCGGAGGCCTCTCTCGACGCAGGGGCTTCATGTCTCCGTGGGTAAATTTACCTCCAAACTCCAGGTTCCTGTGCAAACGCTTACAAGTACTTGGTCAGGAAAAGCTATTCTACACATTGGGAAAGAGGAGAGGGAAGTCTGGGGCAAGGATGCAGGACCCTGACCCCAGTCCTGCCTTTAGTATGGCCATCAACTATCCCTGGAGGTCCCTGAGAACAAGGCCAGGTAGAGGAACCTCCTATGAACCTCAGAGGACTTCTTGCTGGAGCCTGGGGAGCTGAGCTGGGCCATGCAAGCCTCCTTTCAACAGAGCTGGAAGCAGCCAGGCAGTGGTGCCAAAGTGAGCAGAGAAGCCTCTTTTCTCCACCCCGCAAGGCCCACACCAGATATTTGGGTCTTACCACTCCACCGGTGAGGAAAGGCAGTCCTGAGCATGCCAGCAGCAAGAAGAAGCAAGCACAAAAGCGTTAGAGCCAGAGTGAGAGGAAGCACATTGCTGCCACGACTGAAGCAAAGGGGCTTGGGCACTTGTCCTGGTCATTCGAAGCGGCAGAGGGGTGGGGGCAGGGTTGGCAGAGGGGTGGGGGCAGGGGTTGCACATCAGACCCTCTAGGTCCATCTGACCTTGCCAATAGGACACAGAGCATTAAGAAAGCAAAGACTACTCTTGCTTAATCCAGCCTCCTCCTAAGCCTAGGAGCTACGTTGGTCTCATCTCATTTCTGCAGACCTGCATCAGCAAAATCACCCCAAGACATCATCCTCGCCTGGCTCCAAATTTTTGCCCAGAACACAACCCTCTGCCCTCTGGAGCTGTGGTCCTACAGGCGTGGGGGCCTCTCTCCTCTTTGCAGACCAGTGTGGCATGGTGGGAGAGAGAGGGACAGAATCCTAACAGTCCTTCCTCTCAGAAAGCAGGCCCCTCCAACTCCCCGTACGTAGCAGACCCGTAGGTTGCCCAAGCTCCCCCACCCTTTGCTCTGTGCAGACTTCCATCACAGCAGGCTGCACACTGTCCAATGTCTCTTTGCCCTTACAGGACAATGGATGAAAGAGGGATAGGATGAGACTATAATTGGGTGGGTGAAGCAATGGTTCTAATCTAGAGTCCTTGAGATCTGCTTGTGAATGTCACTATCCACTCTCATCTATAAAAGCCAACTGAGAAGCTAATTTTAAGAAGCCAGTGTGGAAGGTACAAAGGCCAATTCTGTACCTTGGGAGTCCTCAGAAAGTGCCCTGCATACTAACTATTTATTTCAAAGATTCTGGACCATGACTGTCATCCGACTGCCAAGTGTACCAACTTATAATTTCTAAATATCAGCCATTGTTTTATTCATTAATTATATGCTCTTTCATCCAACAGTCATTTCCAATGTCCTTTGTGCACCAGGCCTTGTGCTAGTACCCACGCTATAGAAGAGCTTGTTCTCAGGGAGCTCATACTCTAATGAAGATGCCCAACAGGTGGTTAGACAAAGCATAGAGCAATGAGACCAGCATTCAAAGGACTGTTGAGTTGCATTCTCTTTCCAAATTATGGTGAAAATCAGCTTCACCCCCAGAGTGAACTTCACCATGCAGGAACTCTGAGATTATATAAATTAACAGCTGAGAGTGACTGCAATAGGCACAGCCTCTCCTTAGAACCTAATGGAAATATTCTAGAATTAGTGGTGATGGTTGTACAGTGCTGTGAATCTACTAAAAAGTTACTGAATCATATAGTACAAAGGGATTTATTTGTTGTATATGAACTGTTTCTCGAAGGAGAAAAAAGTTAAAAGCTATGTTTAGTCAGTTTAAAATAGTTAGAAAATTCAAAAGCACAATCCCAGCCTGATACCCTGATCCCTCTTACCTGTTCTCCTTTGAGCCCTGGAAAGCCAGGCAAGCCAGTGTCACCTTTCGGTCCTCTAGGGCCCTGGAAGGAATTGTTGGAGAGTATTGTGTTGTTAAAAACCCTGTATCATTTTTAATGTCCTTGCTTTGTTTTGTTGGTATTTTGCTATGGTTCTTTTTTTGTTCTACTTTCTTTAAAATAAAAAATTAAAAAGAAAGATTAAATGCTTTCACTAATCTAAAAGAACAGAGCGTGCCATTTCCCAGGTAGATTAACTATGACATTTCCTCAACTTCGAGAGGTTCACAGGTCACGGCCTGGTAGACAAGAGCAGCTCTGAGCCTTAAGAGGCCTCCGGGCCCCACACCTCTTCGAATGTTGGATGATGGTGCTGCCCAAGCACTGGTTCTGCTGTTATGGGCCTTACTGCCTCAATTCCCCCACGGCTTCCTAGACCTTCCTGCAGCTCACCTTCCCCAACACTCCCGCTCCAATACTCTCTTCCTTCACTGGCTCCCTATTACCTACAAATGGGGTCCAATATCCTATCTGACATCTCAGTCCATCCCAGCCAGGCCTGAGTCAGCACTTCATCTTCCACACCCCTGATATGACTCCCTTCCTTTCCCTGGTCTCCCCCTTGCCTCTGAACTAGTGCTCATGCCACCCGCTGCAAAGCCAAACTCCACACTCAGCCAGATGCAGTCTCATCTCAACTCCAAGAAGCACTGAATGTGCCGGTGACTCACTTGGCCATGGCATCTACCCCTAAAGGACATTTCAACCCTTTATTGATATTTAACTTTTCATAAGCTCCGTCTTGATTTCTGGGTGACTTCTGGGTGAAAAGGTGAGCTGTCTATGACAGTGGTGGCTTTCACGTATTTGTGATTATTATTTTTCAGGAATGAAGCACTTCCCTTCCCTTTCTTTCAAATCAAGGCCTGAATGCATGCCCAATACACAAAATATGTCAGATGGATCTGTCCTTAAAGGAGTTCAGGGGCCTGAATCCTGCTTACTTGGCTCCCTCCTTCCTTCCTGCAGTGATTTGGGGGCTCTGCTGAGAACGCTGGACTCTTTCTAAGCACAGGAAACCCTCAGAGGAAAGTATGCTCCAGAACATGCCCTGGGCCTTGGTGCAGCTGAGCTGAGGCTGGAGCTCAGAGGTCAGGACTTTTCTCCTAACCCAGAGGCTGTCTTATGGCTACCACTCGCCTGCTTTTCTGGTTTTTTGGCAGTGCTGGGGATTGAACCCAGCGCCTCCTGTGTGCTAGGCAAGCACGCTACCACTGAACACATTCCCAGCTGTTCTGTTTTTTTGTGTCTGGTTGACATGTGTTTTTGATGTCTTCGTAGTTTATGTTCCTTTAGAAAATGTAAAAAGTTCAGGAAAGTATAATTAAATAGAAAGAGATCACCTATGGATCCACCATCAAGAACCAGTTTTTTTTACAGTTTTGATAAATTTCCTTCATTTGTCCTGGAAGTAGTGTGTATCACTTGTTGGCATGAGCCCTTTCAGACGTGCAATGTCTTGGAGAAATTGTGCAGGCTTCACCTGGGGCCAGACCTTTGGCTTCTGCACAAACTCAAAGATTTAGACAAAAATAGTCACTCTCTGCACTGATACACATCTTCACCTTCCAAAGTCCCGTAACGGTGCGCACACACTATTCATTATTAGACTATTATTCTATGGTTCCCCTTCCTCCCCTTCTTTCAAGTGCCACCAACTTATTTCTTCAGGCACTATTTGGACCTTATGAAATGTTTGACTCATCTATTGTCATTTACAGCAGCCAACTGCTGGCTCAGACTCTGGGCCTGACATAAAGAGACATGAGTAAGACCTAACCCTCCACAAGCTGCTCACGGAGTGGTGCAGGAAAAACAAACACACACAATGGCGCAAATAACTGTTATTTCATGCAGAAAGAATGGTGAAAATAGCGCCTTATGTAAGGACTAAAAGAAAAGGACCCTTGTAGGTGGGAGCAAGGAAAAAACAATGAACAAGCAGAGGCAAAATCACGGTCAGGCAGAGGTGGAGAAAACCACCACTCTGAGTGGAGGAAGAGCACGAGCACGGCTATGGGGCCCAGATGGAGGACGGTTACTGTGGTACTTACTGGGAATCCGGGCAGCCCAGGCAAACCATCAGGCCCCTGTGACACACCAAAGACAAAGAGTTTCCAGAATCAGGCAGAATCATGCCCCAGAGTAGGGGCCACTCCCTCCCAGCCTGTTTGCACCCAGTGAATGTGCTGTCCCATTTTGTGAAGGAGGACACTGAGGCCCAGGAGGGAAGAGACTATGTGCACAGAGTCACGCAGCTAGTTAGTTAGTACTAGAGCACACACTATACTGGGGCCACTCACACTGGCCATTTTCAAGGAACCGGGGCACAAAGAACTTGTGCTTCATTACCCTGAGCACCAGGGTCTCTACCTGCCAACCCCAGGCAATTGCTGCTATTGAAAGTGCAAGAGTTTGGCAGAAGAAATAAAGACAGAGAGGAGGAGGGAGGCAGAGAGAGAGAGAAGGAAGGAAGGAAGGAAGGAAGGATAGAAGGAAGGAAGGAAGGGAAGGAGGGAGAGGGGAGGGAGGAAGAAGGAAGGAAGAAAAAGAGAAAGAGAAAAGAAAGAAAGGAAAGATGGGTAGATAGATGAGACCGCTACCGAGTACAATAAAGTATGACCCCGCATTAGCGATAAAGGGGCCTGGATGCACCCAAGGCCAAGCCAATGGCTGGGAAGCAAGTAGGAAGGAAAATGGGGAGAGGCACCGTAATGCAGGCAGACAGGGCCCAGGGCGAGCAGACCAGAGATGCCTACTCTTCAATTTTAACCTGCATGTGTCTTGCTTCAGCATCACCCAAAACCACCTATCACCCAAAATCTCCAGTAGTTTGAGGATAACACAGACCCTCTGTAAATGGGTTCCTGTTTATCAGTTGGTTTACCATATGGTTGAATACTGGGGTCTTTTGGATGATATTTTATTTTATTTATTAATTTTTTCCGTTACACTGAACTATGTCCCCAGCCCTTTTTTTTTTTCTATCACTAAGTTGCTAAGTTGCCCAGGCTAGGCTTAAACTTGTGTACCTCCTGCTTCAGCCTCCCAGAGTGCTGGGAATGCAAGCGCGCACCACTACGCTTGGCTTGGATGGTATATTAATGGCAATCAAGGAAAAGGAGCCTTGTGGGTGCAGTGCAGAAGAGACAGCAAGTGGTCCCCCACAGACTGGCACTACTCCACAGAAGGACAGACCCAGGGGCAGAGCAGCCTCCCAGATAACTGAAGAAATCTTGGGGCAGATTCTGGTTTCCCCCGAGGCTATGCACGGTTGAATGTTCAGGCCAACCTTGTTGGCCCTAGGGGACATCCATGCAGCCCTAGTGGACATCTGCATTGCACAGCTGGAGAGGTATAAGCCTGTCTCTAAGGTGATTTACACAGATGCCACAGTGTACAGAGCAGTCTCCCACTCCTCGCTTGCCATAAGCTGCCCGAAGCCTGGCACAGTGCTACTGGGAAGAGAATCTGGAGTGGAGAGGAAGGTGTAGCCCTGAGGTTCCAAAAGCCAAAGCTTTTTTCTCTTCCTGGCTCCCAGCAGATACAGTGGGACATTACTGCAGTGGAGGCAGGAAGCTTCCTTCCTCATAGGCCCTGTTATGCTATGAGTCAACTCTGAGAACTTTTGGAAGTAACATGACTTTCTTGTGTGTTAATTTCCTCATCTCTAAAGTGCAGCTAGAAAGACTAAAGCAAGTCACGTTCTCTCCTTGTGCTGCAGTTTCCCCATGAGCACAAGGGTAGCTCTTCTTGTGCCGTGAGACGAGACAAGGCAGATAAAAGCAGGGATATCAACTTATTTGTTACCAGGATTCTCGGACTTCTGTTTTACCTGATGCACAAGACCAAAAGCTGCACTGGGCACAACTGCACAGTCAAATGAATGTGACAGCAACTCCTCAGAAAGGCAAAGCTCCCTTCCATTCTACTTTGATATACTCTAGCTCTGTGCACCAACAGCTAAAAGAGATCCCAAGCCAAGGTGGCATTGTTTCAACAGGGTTGGAAACCTCCCTGTAGGGCAGCAGTGAATACAAACCGGAGGCCCTAGGAGCTCAGGAATGTCGGAGAAATTCAAGGATCCATGCGTGATGTTGATCAAAGACTGAAAAGAGAAAAAAAATCAGACAATGAGGACAAAGAATGGCATGTGTTCCGCCTTGTTTCTGGCAGTGAAGCTTTAGTTGAAGTCACCCAGCATGGCACATATTGGTAACACCCCAAAGCCAATGCCAAGCACATTCATCCTTCCTACTTCCTATCCAATAGCTCTGCTCTGCCTTGTCATTTTCCTCTTTTAATTAGCTTTCAAATGACACACTACATGCATGCCCTCTCTCTTTCTCTCTCTCTCTCTCTCTCTCTCTCTCTCTCTCTCTCTCTATATATATATATATATATATATATATATATATATATATACATATATGCACCCACAGAAAGCATACAGTGTTGGTGTGTATTCATGTGGTTAGTTTACATAAATGGCATCAGGCTTATGTATTATTCTTCAACTTGCTTTTTTCACTCAACCATATTGTGTGGAGATCTTCCATGCAGAATTTTGGAGTATGCCTATTTTTAGTTTCAACAGACTGCCAAAGAGCCGTCCAAAGGGGCTGTGCAATTTACACTTGCACCAGAAGCGTAAGAGAGAACCTATTTCCTCACAGCTTTATCCACTCAGTATTTTTAAATCATACACTTTTTTTTTTCACTTTACTCATCCTTTCCCCAGTTATGTGGAACTTTTTGTCTTTTGGTTGTCTACCAGCGTGATGCTATTTCTCTCAAAAGGGCCACAATTTTTGAAACTACAATGGCTCAGTATTGAGTGGACCATGATCTGACCCCTGCCTACATTCAGCTTTCTCTCCAGATTTACATCACTCATCTGCCTTCACCTGCAGACAGCTCTCTGCATCCTGAGCACACAGTCCTATTCTCTGCTTCGGCTCAGGATGTCCCTCAAGCTTGAACTCTGGAAATTCTGTCCCTCAGGCCTACCTGGCAATATCCTTCTTAGTTTTGCAGGCACTGCCCAAAGACACTGCCTCCACAAAGTCTTCCCTGATTTCGCATATCCCAAGCTTTCTTGGGATTTCTCATATTTCATCTTTCTTCCCTTATCCTGGCACTGTCACCGCTATTCTCCTGACCTCACTACCTTCTGTGTCTCACTATCTTTATATCCACAGCACCTGACACAGACTCAATGCCATGAGTATTGGTGCCAGAGTGGTGATCAGAATTAAACAACATCTAGCTAACAGTGATGAAGCTTGCCCTAGGTGCCTGGCAGTGGGGACAGAAAGAAGAATAGAAGTTTCAGGCAGCAAGTGGAAGAGACAGATATGTCATCAAGCCATTGCTGTATGATGATGGGATTTTAATATGAAGTCACATAAGCATGTCTTACTGACTGCTCTGTTGGTGGGGATTGGAAGTGGATGTTCCCCCTACTTGTATGGAGATCACGTGGAGTATGGATATTTTTAGTTTTAACAGCCCATGAAAGAGCCATCCAAAGGGGCCATCCAAAGATGTTTCCTTGACAAGAAAGGATGGCAGATCCGGAAAGGACCCACAGGTGTGCTCAGCCTTCTCTTGGACCACTCCTTAAAGTCAACCAGTTGGATGAATTCTCTGACCAGTACTACTCAGTGGCACAGAAACAGCTGTCTTACTAATGAACATTTTGCTTGGAGAGAAGCTGATGTGCCCATTTGAATGCATTCGTAGAGAGGGGGTAAGGAAGGGGAAACCTCGCAGGGTATTTGCTCCCCACCATTCCCAGCTGCCCTGCCTGCCCTGAGCAATCTCCAGGAAGCACCCCTAATATCTGGCAGGCAAGTCTTTTTGACTCTATGGTGAGTCAGCAGAGAAAAGGCCTTCAGTGCAACTTCTATGGGCAGTGAGGTGGTCCTGGGCCTGCCCCTTCATCATTGGCTTTATTTCTCAGCCTGTTCAGAAGCTGCCTGGGGAAGATGAGCGCTACTTATTTAGGGCTTCCTCAAGTCTTCAATAGCTCTTATGTTCCTAGGATGTTTTTTGAGTTTACCTCAAATGGTGCCAAAAAGAAGAGAAGGCTCTAGAAGTGCTGTGGGAGAGAATGGTGCTACCAGGACAGGAGCAAACAGCTGAAGCAGGCTGGCAGGTGAAAGCTCTAACGCCATATGCTGGCTATGTGAAGCAGCCCCAAAGCCCTGAAGTGGTGGTCAACGGACTCCCCCACCTTCGGCAAAAGCAAAAGACACATACAAGCTCTGACGTGGGGGATACTCACACTAGATAAGATCTCAATCCGCCCAGGGGGACCCCTGGGTCCTGGAGGTCCCACAGTGCTGACTCCGTCCAACCCCCTTTCACCCTGGTTACAGCAAGGAGAAGTGGAAACAGTCACTGTACATGTGGAAGAACATCCTGCATGTTTCCAGAACCAGCTGGGAAGTCCTCCCACTCACCACCTTAGATCTGCGACCTTACCTTGGGTCCCTGGTCTCCTTTTTCTCCTTTGAGACCCTGGCAAAATAAACAAGTAGCTCAATAGGTGTTCTTAGTTTTCTTCTATTCACTTTGCTCACTCCCACTTATCCTTGAATTTTATTGTCACTCCCTATGTGGATTTTGTCCCAGGCAATGGCAGCAAAGGAAAAAGGGCAAATTCCCCTTCCAGAGTCAGGAGGAAGGAACCTCCAGTGAGAATGAGGGATTGGAGGTCGCTTCCCAGACCTGAATGTCCTCTTGGCCCATATCAGAGCCCTCTGCCTCTGGAGAGGTGGATGTCTAAATATTTAATCACAGGAGGTGCCATGCTGTTCTCTTCCGCATGCTTGGCTCTGGGTCCCACATGACAAAGATCATGAGGGGGTGGCCATCGTGAGAGCAAGCATCACGGGAAGGACAGACCACACCTCCTGAGAACACATGCAGTAGGGAGCACTGGGTTTTGAAATGGGGCACAGCATGAGTATTGAATGGGGCAGCGGGAGGGAGGCAATGAAGCAGAGATGCTTTGAGGTAGGGAAGTGGGGAGAGAAAGATGATTTTCAAGTTTTCCCACGTGGTCTTCTGTGCAAAACTCTGCGGGGGTCCCCAGAGACACAGGCTAAAAGGAGCACCCCATAGGCAACACAGTCTCCCCGCTGCACAGCTGGGGGCTGACAGCACAGAGGGGAGGAATTATTGGAAGGGGCGGAGCCAGTGCAATCCCCCACCGCCTCCTCACTCTGATGTGACAGCAGAACAATCCTTACAAGAAGGTATTGAAAGTCAACCTACAGTGGAAACGGTTGGCCTGGAGATTCTGGGTTCACTCAGCAGCCTGATATTTCCTGAGCCCTCGGTATCCTGGCAAAGAAGGGAGAATGAGAATCTCAGATCTGACTGTTCAGCAAATACCTGCACCAAGTTGTATTGGGACCTGGGAGCCCACAGGGGATCAGCACAGCCTCTCCCCTCAGACCAGCATTCAGTGAGCCGCTCTTTCTAAAAATCCCTACCGCACATCGTGCACTAACCACAGAAAGGAGGATGAGTACCTCAAATTCAGGTCCTGTTGCACATCCAGGGCCTGGGGGACCTGGGGGTCCAGGAGGCCCTGGAGGTCCCATGATTCCGGGAGTGCCAGCTTGTCCATTTTTTCCTGGGGGTCCTGGTAAGCCTCTGTTACCGGGGTCACCCTGTAAGGAAGAGGACAAGCTGACCACTAGCACCAGATTTATCATGGAAGAAGCCACACACACCTGAGTTGGATACTGCTCCTTAAAGTCAACCAGTTGGATGAATTCTCTGACCAGTACTACTCAATGGCACAGAAACAGCTGTCTTATTAATGAACATTTTGCTTGGAGAGAAGCTGGTGTGCCCATTTGAATGCATTCGTAGAGAGGGGGTAAGGAAGGGGAAACCTCGCAGGGTATTTGCTCCCCACCTATCCAGCTGCCCTGCCTGCCTTGAGCAATTCCTCCGAGGTGTGTTTTCCACTGCTACATGACATCCACATGTTTAACACTGCACCTCGACTGTCCAAGCAATGATAGCAAACCCAAGGTAGACAAGAAGGGGCAAGGAAGCTGCTTTTCTTTACCTTTTCACCAACTGAGCCATTAGGCCCTCTTGCTCCCTGAAAAACAAACACAAGGGCCAGTGAGTACCCATTTCCTTTAGATATGTTCAGAAGAAAATGCAGGACTATGAGCCCTCAAGCAACAGAATATGTTCAGGGGTTTGGCTGATTTCTCCATGCTAAGCAAACTGCAATCGGTGGCAGTCTGCTGGGTGAGTCATGCTGAGAGCTTGTGAAACCCATTCTTCAGCTACTAGCTCACTCCATACCTCGAGAGCAAACCAGAGCACTTGGAGATGAGTCAGGAAGGGATCACAGAATTCCTCAGAGAGCTGTCAGTGCGCTGAAGCAGTCCTCTTTCCACCCCTCCCAAGGCAGAGGTGAGGGCTACTTCCCTTATTCTAAACCAAGACAAGAGGCTCAAGAATCGACATTCATTCCCCCTACTTTTAGAAATATGGGAAATGAAGTCTGATTCTCTTGTGAGAAGATCTTAAGACCAAAAGCTGACCAGAGTGGCCCCCAGAGGATAGAAGAAGTGTAGAGGTTTCACAGGACCAGTTTACATGTCCACCCCCAGAGGGAACCACACAGTTAAGGTTTCTGGGAGATCAGACATGGATCCCATAGTCAGAAGCCCAGAAAAAGTTTCCAGAAAAGCAAGGGACCCACAGGAGGCAGGTGGACAGGAATGGTCATCTCCCCTACATAAGGCAATAGTAGTAGGGAACCTCAGATGCAAAATTCTGAGGAGACCACAAATGCACCTGCAAGAGATAAGCCAGCAATTGCATGGCCATGCAGGAGACAGTGACATGATGATGATGTGACAGCCACATAAAGCTGTGTGCCCTCAGCCTCTCTTTTCCCAGGCTGGAGTCCCCTTCCTGTGTCAAATCCACAGGAAAGACAGAATGGGTAGTTCTAAGACATCTGTGCTCAAAACTAAGAAGGGAATCACTTTGGACCTGAAATAGGGATGCCACAGGGAAAGAGATGGGAAGCTGAAGACAGAGGCCTTAGCCACCGTGAGCAACCAGGGGAAGAAAAGTATCCTGAAAAGTAGTGAGAAAGCCAGGAACAGAACGGCTTACAGGCCTCTGCAGCAGGACAGCCACCCACTCCCACCACTGCCCCTCTGCTCCTATGCACACCTTATCATCACGAGGACAGTGAGAGTTATTTATTGGTGCAGAGAGATAAGGTGATTGGGACCCCTGGAAGGTCCACAGGCCTCTGATGTACCCTGCCTGACAGTGTATCCTATACTTTTCATCCCCTTCCTGAGACTCACAAACCTCAGAAGCAGCTACTTAGTCCTCTTCCCCAAGGCCTGTGCAAGCAGAGGTAGAAGACAGTCTAAAGCAGGATCCCAATTTCAAAAGCAACACATAAACAAGACACAGCAATCCTATGAAGAAAAGCAACACTATGAAGGAAACACAACAAAGCCAACAACCAAATATCCAGTGAAGGAAATAATGTGAAGAAAGCAGCCCAATTTGGATGTTTTAAGTACACAATATACATTCTTGGAGAGGAAAGAGACGTTATAGCCACAAAACAAGAACAAGCTATTACAAGAATAATATGAAATAGAACCAGTTAGAGATCTTGGAAATAAATGCATATAACTGTTGCAATAACTCTACAGAGGGATTGAGCAACAAACAGACACACCTGAATGAGAAGTAAAGGGTAAAGGGAAGCTTGGGCTACAGAATTCTCACAGAAGGCAGCACAGGAGGATAAGCACCTAGAAAGAACAATAAAATAGAGACAGAGGACAGCGTCAGAAGCCCCAACGTCTGTTTAACTGGAGAAGCAGAGGGAGAGGACAGAGAACAAAGAAAAGGCTGGGGGAAGACAAATGCCTCCTGCCTGAGGCACACTTGGGCATGGTAAAGCCCCTGGCTCTCATGGTGGCAGGTCTTGTGTCCCCTGCTCAGAGACCTTGCCCAGTCCTTGGCCTGGGAATGGGGACAGAGGGGAGAAAAGAGCGAAGTGGGCACGGGGCCTCCTGGCAGAGGCACCAGGCTCCCAGGCAGGAAGCGTGATGCTGAGCGACACAGACATGTTGCCCTCAAACCCTCCGTGGGTGCTTCTGAGGTGGCTTGTGGAACCCAGGGTGCCTCCCAGGCCAGGGAGCTGTGGGGCCACCCTGGCTATCTGGGAGGTACTGGGTGAAGGAAGTAGCTGAACATGGGACCTGTTCCCCCGCTCGGGCCGGTGCACTTGGGAAGAAACTGGGGGCAGAAACATGACTCAAATAATTAAGTCCCTACTTTGCTGCCTAATCTGGAGGCTCCAGCTTCTTGTGTCTGCTTCTCTTGTGTGTGATCAGTTATACCATCACCTGCTGCCATCTGTCCTTGAGGGAAGCGATGACTTTTTGCTTCTTCCCAGCAACGAGTCAAATCACTGTCAGGGCTACTGTGAAACAGAAGATAAAGTAGCCCCATTGCTGAGAACCTAATAGTTGTTTTGTCAGCTGTCCCCATTAGAGAAAATTATCATAGAATGAAAAACTACTTTTTAAAATTGCTTTCTCTATGTTTTAAAGTCAAGAGTGCATCTTGTAGCAGTTTCAGAGGAAGTTCTAGAATATATTTTGGACCCTGATTTATCTGAAACAGAATGGTTCATCTCAGAAATAGATAGCTTTACCCAGCTTGTCCATGGCGGAAAGATGGAACTTGGAGACATTCAACTGGCTTGCAGTATGGTGGCCACCAGTTCCCGGAGTGAATTAGTTCGAGGATGGAAGAGCCTACCTTATCAGGAATTTCATGAACAGATTGGGTGAAAGGTGAAGCTCTGATGAAAGGCTCAGGCTAAGTCCTTCATTCCTTACTCAGAGTATTTTTGCTGGGTGTCTGTGAACTGTCTTGGAATTCCAACCAGCAGAGCGGCAAGTGTGGCTATAAGTGATGCAATATGCGCAGAGAACTCTGCAATGGAAGCTTCATAAAGGAATGAGGCACAGTCATGCTGCATCTTATAGAATTGTGGTTTAGAGTTCATTAGACTTCTGGGTTCATTACAGTGAACTGGACTGGTAAGGCCAGAAGTAGAATCCAACATACAGGAACATCAGAGAATAGACACATGGAACTTTTTCTATCGGGGGCCCTCAGATTGTGAGTGTCCGCTGGTTTTGCTCATGGTGTTTGCAATATTGACAATTTCAATTTGTTATCCACTACAACTGCCAATGGTTTATTTAGTTTTATGAAGGCCTATCATCCAGATGTTCTGCTATCTGATGATGAAAGAAAACGTTGAAGGAAATCAGACAAATAATGTGATATTTCATTTACATATGTTGTTACAAGCTCTAAACTCGTCACTGGATCCTAGGCAATAACAGTTCACTGCTCAAATGATTCCACTGCTGATGCTTCTTCCTCTTCTCCTGCCTCCCGTTCCTCTTCTCCTCCCCCTCCTCTTCCTCCTCCTTTACTTCCTCTTCTTTCTTTTTCTTGCACTGCTGAGGATCTAACCAAGGTTGTGCCCATGCGAGGCAAGCACTCTACCACTGAACTATAAACTCAGCCTCAGCTCAGCAGTGCCCTGTTTTTTATTATAGAAGAGTTAGACAATTGTTCAAAGACAGAATGGGGTTACTGAGAAAAAGAAGTGGTAACGATCTTATTGCATTTCTCTTGCATCTTACGGACAAAGACAGAGACTTGTTTTACAGTGAAATTTTGGGCGCAGTGAGATTACTCAAAGCCAGTTGTGGGAGTGCAACGTCCTTTAGCAATTCTGCGTACTGAGGAAAATTTCATAGCACAGACTCTTTCCTGCCTGGGTGTCCCAGTACTTTCTGAGAACTAAGAAAAAACACACGTGACCTAGAACCTCAAAAAAAAGCAAACAATGCTCACTGTTCATCTAAAAAAAACCTGTCCATGTCCTCCAGCAAGTTCCTCAGCATTCCTTCCAGAGTGTTCTTAGAGAGCAGGCTGCTTGCACTCATCCTTCTCGAGCTAAAGGTCTTAGAGTTAGCTACTGACCTTAATTTGGGGAAATAAGGAATATGTCTATCATTGAACTCTGCATAGAATAATCTGTTTGATATTCTGAATGACTGTACACATTTTGATGACAATCTCGTTTTCTTATCATAATAATATCTAGTTAAATGAGCTGAACCTTATTCTTTGAGGGGAAACCCGCACTGTAGATAACTGCCTGGACAGATCTTTTGTGTTCTGCTAATAAGAAGGGCAGCTAACTTCATCAGGGCATGAGAAAAACTTCCCTACAAGTGGATCCATCCAACCATGAAGGTACTCCCTGGGAATGAGACCCCTGCCACTGGAGGTATGCAAGCAGAAAGACAGAGACTGTAGAGGGCAGTCAAGGATCAAATGTCTCATTGGACTACGTTCTATAACTTCACTGAGATCACCCATTGTCTTCAGCACACTTTTGTTAATTCACATTCAGACTGTACTCCTTGGTTTACTATTTTTTTTTTTTTAAGGTAAATGTCATGTGCGAGGTTTTCCTGCAGCTCTCCAAATGCAAATTTCCCAGTCCTTCTAAAAAACATCACATACACACAATGCAACACATGGGACTCAGAGCAAATTTTAGGAACAACCAACAAACAAGTGAGATTGATCTCCAACAGTCACCCTGGGAAGCTGCCACTCCATGCTCATCCAAGCGGCTAATTCCCCAAACTGCAGAGCCATCTGTGGGGTGTTCTGTGTGCAGACACAGGCAAGGGTACCTTTAGATTCGAGATGGAGTGTGGGAGGGTTGGGTGGGGCCAGGGGAAGTTGTAAGAACAGGCAAGGTAAGTGTAGGTTGGTGGTATTTCCTGCAAAATTTAATGTCTTATGAAAAAGTCAGTATATGCAAAACGATTCTCTACAGCTCAACAGTCTTTTTTTTTTCCTGAGAAATGTGATTTCTGTGAAAACTGGGTTACTTTTGAATTAAACATGTTTGAGAGCTGACAGAAACTGGAAATTTAGTTCAGTGACTGTGGTGTCCAGGCAGTCAGTGTTTTCAATATCTTCATGGAGCACAGGAGGCTTCAGCCCTCATACCATGGGGATGAGACCCTCTCTCCTCAGAACCCTCGCAGATAACCTCTCAGCACACTGCCAGTACGAGGCTCCTTATTTTTATGGCGCCCTTTGCCAGCACTGCTCAGCTTATCTCAAGCAGGCTGGCAAGGAAAAGGGGTTAGAATTCTCCCACCCTAGCATCAGCAAGGACTTACAGACAGAAGCTAGGGTAGGCCTACAGACACAGAAGGAAGGAAGGAAGGCAGGGTGAGCTCTGGGAATGGCAGATCAGAATGGTGCCTGCAGGAAGCTTTGTTCATTCATCAAACATAAATGGAGGTCTACGCTAGGTTCTCAGGGTACAGAGACTATTATGTTTTCCTGGTGCTCTCCAAATGCAAAATTCCCAGTACTTCTAAAGGACTGGGAAAGTCAGGGTGGGGGTAAGGGACAGACAGGTCAGCTAACACCTTCAGTGTCATTGGCTAAGAAGGTTCTCCACAGCACAAACATTGGGCTGATAGAAGGCAGGAAGGAGGTGTGTTCTCTGCTCAAAGGGAGGGCTTCCCAGAGGATATTCAGCAGTCCCCCCACCCCACCTCATAGTTCCACTCTCCGAAGTTTCCAGTTATCCAGTCAACCACAGTCTGAAAATATTAAGTAAAAAAGGCCAGAAATAAGCAATTCACAAGTTTTACATTGTGTGTCATTCTCAGTATCAGGAAGAAATCTTGCACCGTCCAGCTCCACCCTGCCCAGGACGTGAATCATCCCTTTGGGCCAGTGCACCCACACTGTATATACTGCCTATCAGTAACTTAGTAGCCATTGTGGTTATCAGATTGGCTATTACAGTATTGCAGTACTTGAGTTATTACTTTACTTAATAATGGTCCCAAAGTGCAAGATTAGGGATGCTGGCATTTTTATTATACTCTATTATTATAATGGTTCTATTGTATTGTTAGTTATTATTGTTAATCTCCTACAGTGACCAATGAATGCACTAAACTTTATCATAGGTGTGTCCATATAGGTAAACAGTATATATAGGGTTTGTTACCGTCAGTGTTCCAGGCATTCACTGATGGTCTTAGAAATATTCCCTTAGGATAAAGAAGGGGGCTGTTGTATTTGAAGTGGGCCTTGCAAGGTGAGAAAAGGAAAAGAACATCCCAGACAGGATGAAAGCGCATGCAGAGGCCATGGGCTGGTGACGAGGGGCAGGCCCAAGCCTCTCAGCAGGGTTGGCCACTGCCTGAGCCGTGTGAGGGAAGAGTGGGGAAAAAGCTAGAGAGCAAAAAGCTGGCACAGATCGGGAAGGCGTGAGGGCCCTGTCTGGCAGGGACAGTGGACAGGGCCTGGCCGATGAGGGCCTGCTATGGGAGGCTGCATCAGCCAAGGGTGCAGGACGGACTGTGGGCGCAGAATGGGCACCAGTGAGACACCAGTGTCATGGTGTGGTAAGAAGAAAGGAAGGTCAATCAGAGTGGAGAGAAAGGTGAGCGATGTGGAGGTCAGTCTTGGCAACAGGGGAAAGAGGGCGAGGAGGAGCTGGAGAGAGACCCACGTCTGAGTCCAGGTCAGCTGGTAGATGGCAGCACTGTTCACTAAAGCTGAGACAGACAGGAGCAGGCGGGGGAGATGCTGAGCACGTTTGGCATAACGAGTCCCACGGTTGGGACGTCAAGCAGAGGTGATCAGATGGGGATCACCAAGTCATTCCCAGAAGAGGCAAGGTCATGTTTAGGGACCAGAGAGTGTGGCTCTGGTGGCTCCCCATGTGAAAACCCTCACAGCTTCCCCGTACCTTCTCCCCTTTTATCCCAGGACGCCCGGTGGCTCCATCGAGTCCAGGCTCTCCTTCGGGTCCCTGGGGAACATAAAATACAGTCAGCCCACAGCATCTCCAAGAGTCTCACAAACCCTTCTAGAAGGAGGGCAGGTGGGGAGCTGGGTAAGGAGGGCAGGCTCAGGGCCTTGTGTCAGGGCCTAGCAAGAGTGCCAGTCCTGGCCCACCTGGGCTACCACTGGCTGTGCCCCTTGGACAAGCATCCTTCAGTCTCTGGGTCACATTTCCTCTTTTGTGGGGACAACAGGGCAGGTTTGGACCTGATGGTCTCCAAGGGGCCAGCTCTGGAGTCCTACAGTTCCAAGGCCCTACGTGAGTCTGCGCTTCCTACACTGACCACCATGAAACGGAAATCAGGCATACTAGGATGCTGCTTCCCAGGAGGCTCAGCAACCATCCAGATGAAGAGGGGTTCTGCTCACCACATTAGCTAGCTGATCTCTCCCAGCCTTAGACAGTGCTAGGTTCTGCATCTGTACCTCCCTCCTCGGCCACTGAGAGAGGGAGGGGATCAGCTGCTCACCGGGAGTCCAGGTTCGCCAGCAGCTCCATCCTCTCCGGGAGAGCCAGGAGGCCCCATGAGAACATCAGTTCCTGGTTTTCCTGGAATCCCAGGTAAGCCAGGTGGTCCTGGGGGCCCTGGGGGACCCTAGTAAACAAGGCATTCTGTTAGAAACAACGGGGTGGGTGTTGGGAGTCGCTGAGGCTGGAAAATAATTACACACGCAGGATGAAGCCAGCCCGAGAACATGGGAGCTCCTCGAAGCGGCTAAACAAGCAGTTGTAACTTGTTAACTGATTGCTAGGCAGCAAGGCAGAAATTAACCAACCTCTGGAGGGTATAAATAAACGCTCTACTGTTCGGGGGCATTTCCCCTTCTCCACTCAGGAGAGAGGGCCTCCACCTGATCCCACCTTTTTGTCTTTTGTCTATTTTTTTCCCTCATTCTCACCGCTGTTCCTTCAGCGGGTACAGCAAGAACCTGACAGATCCTTATAGGTGGGGAGGAATATATACTGAGCACGTGTGTTTGTTCCATTCTTAGAACAACCATACAAGGGAGACTTGGTGTCCCTGCTTACCAGATGGGGAGACTGAGGCACAATGAAAAGATGACACTCAAAGTCTCACCCCCACATGCAGCTCTTACATGTAAGAGCTGGGATGTGAACCTAAGGCATTCTGAGCCCATTACATCATGTGATATACTGTATAGATATAGACAGTAAAGATCCAATTAGTTGGGCTCCCCAAAAGGGCTCTGGCTAATTTAGCTTTCTGGGGTCCCACCCCACTTGTTGTTTGGCCTTGTCATTGACTCTTCCTGAAGTATACACATCTCTGAAGTCTCTTGGTAGGTTGGTTGATTCTACCAGCCTGGAAGGTCCCAAGAAGAGCCAGTAGGATCCTACTCCATTCATCAGGGAGAGCAGTGCCCTTCCAGCTTGGCTACAAGGAGTGGGCAGAGGGCGAGGCAGCCAAATAGAGCTCCTAACTGGGAACTCAGGGAAGATAAGGCTGGGCCTGGTGACAGAGCAACAGCTGCAGTGGGAGAGGGAGGCTCTCCCTGGGCGGTGATTTAGAGAAACTGGTGGAGCCTAGCTTTGGGCAGGAGGCCAGGGGGCTACAGACTCCAAAGAGGAAGGAAGAGCATAAGAGCTGCATGTGGGGGTGAGACTTTGAGTGTCACGCTCACTTAAAACCAGACAAAACTGATTGAAGTGAAAATTTTCAAATACATGCAAAAGTGAAGAGAAAAATGTAACAAAGCCCCGAGAATTCATCACGAACGGTCCTCAGTGTGGCCTGGCTGCTTTCGTCCCTGCCGCTCGCACATCCTTCCCCCGGTCATTTTTAATTTAGGCCCGGACACCAGGTGGCATCGCCCTTCACACTCACTCTTAGCAATTCTTCTCGGTCCACCAGATCCCCAGAGCCAGAGCCGATGTCCAGGCCCCAGCCCGGGTCAGAGCCTTCAGCCTCGGCACCCACCTGGAGAGAGAAGAGATTCCCCCAGCTTGGACTCTGCAGACTCCAAGGACAGCCACACCGCTGGATGTTTTCCCTACATCATGGCCCAGCGACTTTTATCACCCAGTTTCCCTCTTGCCTTTCTCCCACTCCAGCTGCCCTTCTCCCTCACAGCCTGTCCGTGTGCAGCCCAGAGGGGCCGGTTCTCAGCCTCCTCACCCACCCTTAAACCCCGCTCCAGGCCCAGTTCTTCAGTTGCCTCCTTCACAAAGCCCTCCCCACCCCTTTTCCAAGGGTGGAAGTCATCTCTCCCTCTTCTGGGTTCCTCTGGCCTCTGCTCAAGGGCCCACTAAGGTACTAGGAGCACCTGACTTGGAGCTTAGCTGTTGGTGTCCGCCAGCCCCTCTAGACCAGGGCAGACCCAAATATTGACCTCCTGCCTGCCCAGAGTCCACCACAAAGGCACTCGGTATGCACTTGTCATTGTTCCCAATGGTCTTTAAAGCAGCGAAGGGAATTTTCAAAATGCCTTCCTGGTACCAAGTTTCTGAAGACAGGAGGCCTCCTTGGATCACTCAGTGGATGTGTGCTGGGCACCCACAGAGAGGTTCCAGGAAGAGCTGGGCGTGGGCGAAGAGTATGTGCCAGAAATCATGTGGTGGGGACGTGCAGTAGGACAGGGGGTGATGAGGGAGGAGGGGGACCAGGCTACTGCCCTCTCTGTCTCAGGGAAGAGGAAGCACTGCAGGCTGGACTCGGGGAGACCAAGGGACAGCATGGACGGGGAGTGAGAGGGAGAAGCCTACCTGAGGACATTTCCTGGTTTCCTTCTTGGTGACAAGATAAATAGGTGCCATTCTCAGAGGTGGGGCACCCAAGGGGAGCAGCGGGTTTGGACTAAAGGTGAGTGTTCAGCTTGGGATATATTGAGTTAGAGAAACCTCTGGGCCATTCAGGATGCAAGATAGAAATGAATTCTGATACTGAGCATACTGTGAGCTTCTAGTAGAGGAGGAAGCCCTGAGTTTTGACTGGAAGGTAGTTTGGGGGACTGTCCTTGTACACTGTGGGTCCAGCAAAAATTCCAGGGACCAAGGAACGCTTCCACAGCATTTTCCTAAAGAGAACAAAATGGCCCAGGAATACAGCATCCCCCCGAACTGTCCTCCTCCTCTCTGTAGAAAGGCACTCATTTTTAAGATCTAGACTGTGCACAAGAGAAGAAAGGCAAAAGGAGAGTGGAAATACAGTGAAATCTCAAAATATGAAGTGGCCAAAAGTTTCTGCCATCATCTTGATTGAAACAGAATAAATCAACCCCAAATGACAGGCTCTGCACCCTTGCTTGGGAGTCAGTGCTCTCCACAGAACACCGCAGCACAAACCTTTTCTCCTTCAGGTCCTTCCACTTCCCCATGTAGTAAGTGAGCCTGAAACAAGAAGATTTGGTTAAAAGTCGGTCATGAAGTCTCTGGAACATGCAGCTGCTGAGCGCTGATGACATTCCTGGCATGGGCTGGGGGTGGCACTGGGCTGGCGTAGTGAGGAACCATGCTCACTGCTGTGATCCCTGCACCCAGAAGACCACAGGCTCTCAGTACCTATTTGCCAAGTGACTACGGGAAGACCAGGCATTTGGAGTCACCCGAACCTGACGATCAGTCTCATCTTTTGCTAGTGTTCCACAGCACAGATTTTAAAGTATAGAAGTTCATCTTAAGGGCAATGTTTGCCATATGTTCCTTAAAAGATTCTAAAACCTCGTCGGTCCTTATAAGTGGAACGACTCTGTTGCAGCACTGTGGGCTTTGCTAAATGACCTTTGGCTCCAGTCTGAAGATGGTGACTGTGATCAGTGCAGAAATCAAGGCGAAAGGCCCAGGGACCAAGGCTTTCATCCTACTTGACCTCTGGGAACTGTATGGCCTGGAGTAAAAGCCTAGTCCTCTTGGCCTTACCTGCAATATAATTCTGGTTAGCTAATTTCAGCACATCCTGTGTGCCAGGCAAAGTTTTCCATGTATTAACTCATTGGATCCTCACAACAAATGGAGGAGAAGGTACTGTGATTATGGTCCCCTTTCCATGTATGGTAAATGGAGACTGGAGATGGGGAGAAAGTCTAGGAGAATTTCCCCAGGAGAGGTGGACAGAGGCAGATGTGTGCAGAGCTGGGTTTGGATGCTGACTCTCACCCACTGAGCTGTCCAGCCTTGGTGATCTGAGATTCAAAATGATTCCAAAACACCCCAGAGGACCTGATCTCTTGAACAGCATTTTTTTTTTCTTTGTCTTTTTGAGACAAAGGGTCTCGCTATGCAGTTCAGGCTGGCCTTGAGCTCACTTTGTAGCCCAGGCTGGCCTCAAATGTGCATGGTCCTCCTCCCTCAGCCTCCTGAGTGCTGGAATTGCAGGCGTTCGCCACCACGCCTGGCATTTGACCATCATTATTGTGCTTTTACGCTCTGCTCAGGGATTATGGAGTCCATCTCAGTCAGTGCGGGTACTAAGCACAGGGACTGAATGATGACCGTCTTCATCAGTCATGTACAAGGGTGCCCCAGTGTGTGCCCATTCATCTCTCCCTTTCTTTCTTTTCCTCCTCTCCTTAGAGTTTGCAAAACTATCTGTTGTAACCATAAGCTGCCATGGTGGAAAACACTAAAATGCATTAAAGACCTTCCAAATTCCCATAGTTACAATCACTCTGAGGCAGCAATCACTAATATTTAGGGAGGGCATTTCCTTCTAGGGTTCTTACATGTGGATATTTTTAAATACTTAAGACCACACAATAGACTCAGGATTAGAACCAGCTTCTTTTATGTAACATGATACAGTTGGTATGTCCGCTATCATTGAATACTAATAAGAATAATGTTAAGAGCTGCATACATGTTCTGTTATTTGAATATACTTTAATTCAATTAACCATCAATTCTTTGCTAATTAGATCATACCCAATTTGTCTCTATTATGAACATGAACATCTACTATGAAATTAATATCTTTGTAAACAAAGCATTTTTACATATTGCACTGTCTCCATTTGGGTGGATTCCTGGAACAGAAGTTTCTGGTTGCAGTTTCATGGTGGTTAACTTATGGTTGTTAATATGTAGTTTTATGGTTGTGAACATCTGTGGACAAAGAGTTTCCTAGAAGCAATAAACCTTCAACACCCCCACCAACATCGCGGGCTTCACCAGGCCAACTTCTTAGGGCAGGAAACACAAAGAAATAAGGAAAAACGAGCCAGTTTCTTCAACAAACCATTAGCAAAAAGAGAAAAGAATCAGGGAGACAGCCTGAGATTAACAGACATCTGAGACAAACTAACATGTTCAGATTCACAGTCAAACCACCTAACTGGGAAAGGACACTTTAAAAAAACCAACGAATTAAATAATATAAAGGAACCATTGCTAATTTTGTTAGAGGGATAATGACAATGTGGCTATGCAAAAAAAAAAGTCCCACATCAACAATGTGTACCACCAATACACATGGACTTATTTACAAGTTAAATGAAAAGATGTTTAGGCTTTTAAAAAAAGACTCCAACCTTCCCCTTCTCTCCAAAAAGATGGGGGTAGAAGGTAGCACAGATAAAGCCAGAAGGTTGAAGGTTATCTGGCTGAAGGTTGATAACTGTTTAAACCAAGTAATGGCATGTGGAGGTTACTTATGTCACTCTGAGCCCCCCTGTGAATTTTTTAGATTTTAAAAAATAGTAAGATTGGTCAATTGATTGATCAGTTGATTTTAGTTTTTTGAGACAGGATCATGCTATGTGGTTTAGGCTGGCCTCGAATTCACTGTGCACCACAGGCTGGCTGTTAAGGTTTTAAAAGAAGGAGGCCTCTACCAGTGCCTGGTGCAGCTCCACGCAGAGCTCTGGCCAAGGCTTTTGCACATATCAGGGAGTGAGGAGCACAAAGGCAGGGGACGTTGTGAGGGAGTCGCACCTGGTGCTGGCATCACAGCTAGTTGGTGACTCCCTTGCTAGCTGCCTGCAGTCATCCCCTGGGGTCCCACCCCAGCCCCTGTCTAACTCTCTAGGTCAGCACTAACCTCAGACTCTGTAGGGCTTTAAGCTGCCCCCAGTCCCTATGAATGTCTAATGTGCACCGAGTTAAGAAGCAGAGTCCTCACCAGCCTTCCCCCTTTATCAGTGATGGTGAGGGGGATGGAGCCCACCCCCTCCCCCAGTACAGGGCGTCCTGGAAGCAGAACCCGGCCTCCTGGCTCTCCCTCAGGGGTCTTCCCACCATGCCTCGCGCTCACAGATGAGATCATGGGTGAGCAGAAGCCACAGGTCGGTAGGCTCCGGTCAACCTTAGCTCAAGCTGGCCAGTGGGAGGGCTTCCTTTAAAACCACTCACCTTTGAAGAGCTCTCGGAGTCACACAAGCCCAGGATTCCAGGACTCCTGGTTTCCTTTTGGGTTTTGTGTTTTTGTTGCCGTTTTTGTTTTTCGTGGTGCTAGCGATCAAACCTGGGGCCTCACACATGATTGCTCACTGAGCTACACTACCAGTCCCCCTGTCCTTTTTTTTCATTTTTTATTTTGAAACAAGGTCTTGCTAAATTTCCCAGGCTAGCCTTGATCCCAGGTTCAAGTAGCTGGGATTACAGGCCTGCACTACCACACCAGCTGGGTGTCCTATTTCTAGAAGACAAAGTTACGCCCTTCAGTGCTGACAACCTCATGTGTGTACACAGAGTGTTCCCAGCATTCTCTGACTTAACCTCAGTTACTCCCATTCACACATAGGAACACGCTCAGAGAACAAAAGGATTTGCTTAAGGTCACACAGTGGCATTCCAGGATCCTAGGAATCTGTGCTGGAGTGGACTTGGCAGGCCCCTCTCCACCCACCCACCCCCACAGGCCCAGCCCAGCCTGGCAGCCAGCTTTTACATCTTCTGACAGCACTGCTTGTTAGAAAGATCTCATGTCAATCTTTAAAAGGCAGTCTGGGGCTCAAAGGTAGGTCCCTTTGATTTTTACTCCCTGCTTTTTTCTCCCCAAACTGCAGTTTCCCCAAGTGTCCCAGGTTGAAGGCCCTAAACTACTCAAATTTGAAAACCAAAATGAGAACCCACATCCAAGAAGGCCAAGGTTGGCCTTTGTCTTCCCTGTAGTATCTGCTGAGGCAAGTCTGTCCCCCTGTACGCCACTCACCAGAGTGACCCGTCTCTCAGGAGCCACCGTGGGTACGGGAAGCGGCAGCCCAGCAGGGGGAGCACTGCTGATCCCCTCTCCGCCTGCTGTGGCCAGGGGCTCCAAATCTTCCATGTCATCAGGTGCCTGAGAGGGAAATCAACACGAGGAATCACTTCACCTCATCCACAGGGTAGGGTGGACGTGGTAAAGGTCACTTCCAAGAAGCCCAACCTCAAAACACTTTCGTACATACATCAGGCTGACAGAAACCGCATCTCTTCCGCGGGACCCATTCCCAGCGACCTGCCCCACATGGGGCCACTTGTCTCTGAGAAAGTTCCTCTCGGACAAGGCTAGGAGGCAGCAGTGAGGGACAAATTCTGTGTCGCACTCCTGCCCTTGCATCCTGCCCCATCCAGCTGTCATCTCCCCAGACACCTCCCAACAGAGCCAAATGTGCAGGCACCTCTGTGGTGGCCACTAACCTCTCCTGTCTCAGGATGAGACCTTTCTCTCCCATGATACAGAGAGGACACTAGACGGCACTTACCGGGGTGACCACTTGTCCCAGGGCCGCTGTGGGTGTGAGGACAGCCAGGTCATCTGTGGAAGGCCCACCGGCATGTGCAGGGGCCACTGTGGGTGTAAGGACAGTTAGGTCGTCTGTGGAGGCCCCACTGGCTTCCTCTTCTCCAAAAGTGCTGAGGGACACTTCTGTGGTAGCTGTGGCCGTGGTTAACCATTCCTCACCTGGGCCCTGGAACAAAGCTGGCATGAGAGATGGCGCCAGGTGACCCAAGCCCAGCTTCAGTGAGTGTCAGGTACTGCAGGGAGGAAACGCCCAGGGCCAGCAGATCCCTGCTGGTTCTTCACCCCTTTCCCTTTGCACAATGAGGACTGCACTTCAGTTCACAGACCCTCTCCAGGGCACTCCCAACTCACCCCCAGTACCCTCCTAGCACCTCTCTGTCAGCTGCTTCTCTGGGCTTAGTCTGCGTGCCTCTGGTAAGAGGGAGCTTACTACTTTGACTTTCAGACAGTTCTATTCAAGTTCTGGTTTCCATTCAGCTTAGATGCAGTGGAACTGGGACCTGAACCCTTGTGGCTTGTCTTTGAAGAAAAAGGAAATAAAGAAACAGAAGAGAAAGGAGGAGGAGGAGACCACTGAAATCATCCACACAACTGCCACATGGCTTGGAGAAGCTCTGTCACTGGTCAGTGCATTTGCTTCCACCAGTCTCCCTACGTGGACGTTAGGCTGGAGCTGGGAGGCCACTGGATCAGTGTGACACAGATTGGACAGCAGGTGTGTGATGACATCAGAGGCAGGGCTCTTGGCCTGTGATGGCCTGGCTGCCCTCCATGCATTCACTCAGCAAATGCCCATGCCTGTCAGTCAGGAGGGAAGGGTAACAGTGAAAGGGGGGTCCACAACCCCCGTCCTCGCTGCGCTTACGTCCTGCTGGGAAGACAGACACGATCTAGTGGCCAAGTTTATTATGGATTACAATTGTGATGAGCCTCCCAAGGGCAAGGGCAGGGCCTTCCCACTGTGGAACAGCCCCTTCTCGAGGAAGTGGTGTTCCGGTTGACTGTAGGACAAGCAAGAATAGAAAGGAGGAGGGCAGGAGGGGTTCCTGGCAGAGAAGAGGGGCCTGGCAAGACTGCATATCAAGAGGAAAGAGGCCTGCTCAAAAAATGAAAGGGAAACAGGCAGGAACGCCTGCGGCTGAGGACAGAGGAGCCTGAGACCCTGCACGGCTTCAGGAGAGCTGGGTCTGCAGGTCAGGGTGAGGCACAGCTTCTAAGCAGAGGGCTTACACCCCAGAAAGGCACTGTGAGAGAACATGGAGTGGTCAGGAAGGGCCTCAGAAGTCGCCTGTGCTGAGGACATGTGGAGAGGACAGTCCAGGGCCGGACACCAGAGGACGAAAGCGGGAGGGTTCATGATGGGTCAGGGCAGAAAAGTCAACAAGAGAGTCAAACAAAGTCAACAAGAGAGAAGAGGATTCTGCCTGTGGGAACACAGGAGTGGACATGGGAGCTGGGTTTGCGTCCTTAGAGTGACAAACTGGAGGGCGCCATTATAGGGACACCTCGGGGACAGGCTTGCGCAGTGCCCTGGCATGCTTGTACCCTGCACTGCGGCCAGGTCCTGGCCAGGCGCTCCCTGCTGCTGCACCCTGGCCCCTCCATCCAGCCTTCTGACAGCTCACAGTCACTCCATTACCTCTCCCCTAGCCCTGAGCCTTGGCCCCACCTCTCTGATCCACCCAGCTCCCCTGGGCCTTGGTCCCCACTGGTCCCAAGTTCTACCAGGGCCAAGCTTTTCATCAGAGAGGTACTGCATCCCCATGCCGGTGTGTTGGGATTTGCTGCATGTGACCGGCACACTTGGAGAAGGCCAACAACTGTCCCAGTGTTTCATGCTCCTTACCAGAGTGGTCTCTTCCCTGGGGCTCTGGGTGGACATGGTGAAGGTGGGTCCCACCGTGGGCAGGCTGCCTGACTCTACTTCCCCAGCAGTGCTCACTGGTGCCTTGGCCTCCCCTGTTCCCATTGCTGCTGAACCTTCTTCATCCTCCAGATCCTAAATAGAGAGATATCCCAAGGGACTACGTCAGCAGACCACACCCCTGATCCCCCGGGGCAGGGCCTCTGCCGCACCTCCATCCTTCAAGGTGCATGCACGCCAGAGCACCCCATCACCACAACACTCCCGCACCTCCTCCGTGGTTCCCTACCTAAGGCCCTGCCACCCTCAAGAGACATGCACCCACTAGCTGTCCCTGCCAGCCTCTGCCCTCCACTCTTGAGTATAAAGATCTCACTGGCGTCTAGGTTGCTGTACTGGGGTAAAAATCCAGGTTCTTGCCCTCCTCACACCTTGTTAGAGCAGCTATCCACACTGTGGGTCACCTGGCCACTTCCTGCCTCCTGCTCTCCCTGACTGGGTGCCATCTGGCTTCTATCCCACCTCCTAAACTGCTTTCACCCTTCTGGCACTCAGAGTCACATTTATAAATTCAGGGGACACGTTTGAGTCCCTTACTCAGCAGGACTTGCAGCAGGATGCAACATGGTGAGTCACGCCCTAGAGCCGCAGGGACCGCCACTCACCCAGGCCTGGATACAGCCTCTGAGCCCATCCCCAAGTCCAGGTTGGCCTCCCTGTCCTTTTGCTCTTGGAAGTCAGGGTGCTCTCTCTAGAATTCCAGTCTGCCTACGTCTCTGTGTTATGTACCATCCTCTGGTAGCTCCTGACTTCTGCAGGCTCCTCTTGGGCTCCTAGGCAGGGCCCCCAAAGCCCTCTGGTCTCAGCTGCCAGTCCAGCCCCATTTCCCCCTGGCCACCTCACAGCTGAGCCCCGGGGGTACACACACTTCTTGGGCTCCTTTGAGACTCCTGGCCTGTGCTCCTGCTGGCCCCTTCTGGCGCCCTGTCACCCTGCCACCTCTTCTACTCACCCTCTCTCTCGGGCTCGCCTTCTACCTCCTGGACCCCCAAGGTTGGGTCTGGGCCCCTGTGCTGTGCTCCCAGAGCACCCCCCGTTTTCTCTCTTCACCTCTTACCTATGTGTTTCCTATTTACCACCATTCCCCGGCACTAGGTCGGGTGCCCAGCACAGCACAGCGCTCTGCAACCACCCGCTTTGTGATTCAGTACCTGCCTAGGCCTCCTACTCAGAAGCCCACAAACCCAGCCCCACAGGGCTGTTGCTCTGCATTTTGCCGGCCACCGCTCACCAGGACAACCTCACCTCCCCCAAAATGGCCAAAGGGGGGTGTGCCTGGGGCTACTTACTGGAGTGGTCCCTTCCTGAGGGTTCAAGGTGGACACGGCCAGGGTTGGTGCTGCAGCGGGCATGCTGCTGACCTCTGCCTCCTGGGGTGTGCTGGTGGTCACCTCATCCTCCCCTGCTACTGTTGCTGCAGAGCCCTGGAAATGAAGACATCACAAAGACCACGTCACTGTGCCCCGGGCCCGAAGAACATGCCCATGGCTGGACAGAGGGGACCGCCTGAGCCCTCCTGCCCCTGTGTCTCTGCAGCTTCTTTCAATGTCTCTGATTTTGCTGTAGCTCCAGGCCAGCCCAGGCTTGCAGAACACAGGGACAGGGATGACTGCCTGGGAACCTCTGTCTTGCGTTTGATGCCAGTGCCTGCTGGGAGGTCATTGCCTCCTGAATCAGCCCCCTCCCCAGTGCTGTACATGTTTGCCCAGACACAGGGGCCTCCTGAGACCTCCACTATGTATCCGTCAAGACACCGGGACAATGTCTTTTCCTACGGCAGTGCTTGAGAGACATGCCAGTGGCATCTCTGTCCTCCTCAGCCTTGCCCAGCCCAGATACTCCTTTCCCCTCTTTCTCCGTGTATGGGAGTTGTCCTCATGCCTCTAACCAACATGACTCCATCTTGTCGAGGGCCCTCCAGTGTGGCTGTCCACGGGCCCCACCAGGTGCCGAGGCTGCGCGGCAGGCTGCAACACAACAAGGTCACCCACCACCACAGCTCGCAGTGTTTGCTGAGACTGGTGGCACTTCCTGATAAGGACGTGATGAGAACAGCGAGCGTACGGCTTTTCCCAAGGACCCTCCTTGCGTTGGAGTTTGCTTTTTCCCTCTAAAATCAGTAGTTGAACAAAGGGAAGTTCATGACTTCAGCGGCGCTGCAACCCGCACATCATCGACTGCTCTGTAAGTCACCCCCAAGAAACTCATGTATGTGGCAGGCTGGACTTGCCTGAGTTGTTCACTGGGCTGTCAGTGCCCTCTCAATTCAGAGGCAGCCATTTCTTTCATACCTCTCCCGTAATTCAGGCGGCACCCCGTGACCCAGTTGACAAGGAGCAGGCAGATTCTCTGAAAGTTGCTCAGCAAATGGAGCAAATGGAAACAGAGCGCCTTTGGCTACAATGTCACCAAAGGGACTGTGCTTTAACTGTTTTCTAAACTTTTGTTTTATCATATTAGTTTTTGCAAAACACGTAGTCTCTTTGTTCACTAAACACACTAGACTAATCAAAGTTAGCCAGATCCCTGAGAGCATATACAAAAGGAAAGGCAGAATGAACTATTTCCCAAACTTATTTGACTTCAGAGCCCTTTCTTCACAGAATGTATTAAGTCCTTGTACACTTCTCCTAGAAAAAAACAGTTTAAAAAAAGATGATGCCACAGGATATCAAATGAGACTCTCTTTGAGTCAGTTCAGCTAAAGCCTCAACATAAGTGTAATTCCATAGGCATCAGGTAACTTCCACATGCAGAAAGAAGGGCCCAAGCCACTTCTGGGGGCCAGCATTAGCCCATCCCATACATGCAGGCCATGTAAGGAAAGAATTTACTGTGGGGTTGAGAGACAACAAGGGAAGAATTCCTTTGGAGAGAACGCCTATTGTGCCCCCTCACCCCACACAAACCATTTGGTGAGTGAGACATGCATTCTTTGGAATTTGGGAGACACAGGGACTGGGGTGTGATTATTTGGGGAGGGGAGAGAGAAAGTGAAAGTTGGGGGCCATCCAGATCCAGTGGGAGGGAGAGGACAGGGTGAGAGGAGGGGGATCTTCCTGCAGCTATTGTGCTGGAGCCAGATCAAGACCTCATCCTCCCAAAGGGAGCTGGCTAAATCTGTCTGGAAATGGGCTCTACCCAAAAGCCCACCCAGAGGGTCTAAGCACCCAGCAGAATGTGGAAGCCCAGGCAGAAGTTGAGCCCAATAATGGAACTCTGACCCTATGTCTCCTGTGGAAGGACCTCCAAATAATCCCAAAGTCCCCATGAGAGAAATTTCCAGCAATCAGGCAACACCCACACTGTTATAGTTTATGTATAGATGTCCCCCAAAGCCTCATGCAGTCATGGGGCAGGCTTCTAGAGTTTGTGATTGATTCATGGTCCAATGCTGGGATAATGGATGTGAGTGCTACACCTGCCCTGGGGCAGGTAGTTTGCATACAGTATAAGGGAGGGAAAGAGGCTTGCTCGCCGCTGCTCCTCACTTCTTGCTCTTGTTCCTTTTGCTGTTTCCCACTGTCACGAACTGTTGCCCTCTGCCATGTGCCACCCTGTCTTGGAGCTAGCTGAGTATGGACTGAAACCTCTGCAAACTGTGAGCTAAATAAACCTTTCCTTCCTTAATTCTGGATGTCAGGTATTTTGTCCCAGCAATGCAAAAAAAGTAACTAAGACACACACCAAAGACCCAGATCACCATTTGACCCACCATGTACAGCTGTGTCCTTTTCCTTAGGAGGGCCAGAACCTGCAGATGTTAAAAACAGCTATATAGGGGAGGAGGAGGTCATGGGCAATAGAGAGAGGAAAGGAAATGGAGAGGAAATCTCTCTTCTTCTTTCCCTGGCAGATTCCTGCTCTGCAATAGGCTTGTACAGCAAGGGGAGTGACTTTTATTTCAGTCAAATTTTTTGTATTATGCTGAACTAAGTTTGTAAAATATCAGTGAAAATTGCCTGGGAGAGCCGTGAGACCTACCTGGGTTTTCATCCAGGATAGGGAAAGGAATGATCTGGCACTGCAGGTTTTTGTCAGACTGGATTTATTTTTGCACCCTACTGTGTCCAGCATTTCAAAAGCAGCCTTTGTCGGTGTAAAAGCCAACCACAGAACAAAAGCATGGACATACCTGCAGTTAATGTGATTCTGGTTTGAAAGCCCTGAGAGCTCTGGGGAGGCCATACTTACCTCTTCACAATGGAGCAGGGGGAGGTGGTTGCCATGGAGAGGAAGGGTGTGAGCACAGGCTGGGGATGCGGTTCATTCACCTGTCCTGGTATATCCCTGGAGCCCTTGACCCTTGCCTCTTCCCTACCACAATGACGGGGTAGTCTTGATGACTTTCCGTTAAAACCTTGTGGTTCTCTCCAGCGCCCAACAAAAGTCACCACCAAGTATGAAATAAATGAAGTTCATCACTGACTTATCAAATGCAATTTACCACGCACTTACTTGTTCTTCAGTGGCATCGAGGAAGGCCCTCTCTCCTGAGCCAGCGTCAGCAATGGCATCCCCATCCACGGTATGAACCCTCTCCAGCGTGTCATTCAGGATCTCGCCAGACCCTACAGGAAGCAGGTATTCTGTAATTAACTACAGTCCGCAGTCTTGGAAAAGAATGCGCTAGGTCCTTACCCCCTATCTTGGAAAGACGTTTGTAATACTGTAATTCAGGACCGAGAGGGGAAGCACCAAGCTGCAGAATAACATGGTGAGGGAGAAGTTCTTGGTGGTTCCCACCACGGACTCTGGCACCTCCTCTTGCCTGGAATCCTGCTTTGCTGCTTTCTAGGAATAAACCCTGTGGCAGGCACATGGCAAATAGCTCCTGTGCCTCAAGTTACTCATCTACAAATGGGGGATAATGTCTACCTTGCTAGGCCGTTCTGAGGAGGACGTATCACAAGGATTAAATAAAGCAATGCAAGAAAGGCACTGAGGACACTGCCTGGATATAGTAAGCAAAAGATAGTGACTGTCAGCACTGTTCCGTATTTGTGAGACAGAAGAAAAAACTATAGAGGGATACATACTTTATCATTATACATAATTATTCTGTAACATATTCATAGTCTCTAATTATGTAATATATAATATGCGTGGACATGTGTCTATATATACACACACACTTAGCTACACTGCAGTAATCAATATTGGTTTCTTGCTGGATAGGAGCGGAAAAAGAGAAGGAAATTATTACTTTTTGTTCATACAACTGTGTGTTGATGAATTGTTGCCGCATGCACATACTTCTTTTGCAATTAAAAAAGAAACAAATGCAGTCCAAAAGCAGAGAAAAATAAATTATATTAAAATGAACGTATGCCCGCAGTGCTGGACCACTGGTCAAGCTTGTTGCATGCTCGTCATTTTCAGCCTCCTGCCAGCCCAGTCTTCTTCTTAGAAGAACTCGACCCACCACCTGGCTGCAGGAGCAAGGCCAGGACGGGAATCCCACGTTTTCAGCCTCTTTGCTATCAACCCCCGGCTTGTGTCCTGCTCTGCTGAGCACACTGACACCTTTTTAGTTATTAACCTTGTGCTGCAGAGCAGGCATAAGGTTTCACAGACAGTGGTTGGGGTAGAGGGGTCTTGAAGCTAGATGGGCCTGTCTCCAAGTCAGACGCTTTCCACATACGCTGCACTCATACAGGCCCCACCGGCCAGACAATGTAGGGGATCATGGCGAACCCTGAGTTCAGGCACCCTTGAAACCCAAAACCCTGATCTCCGCCGCACGCTTGCGTTCTCCCCGCTCTGACCACCAGGGGGTGCTGTGCAGACAGGCGGCGGGCCCCAGCCCTAAGTAGTGATCCTTGGAGGAGGGTCGTGCTGGATGGATGGTGTCAGGGAAGCCAGAAATACAAACACTAGGGAGGTTTCCTTGTCCAGGGGCAGCCTTTGGGAGCAGCTTCTTTCTCCCCACATCTTGGCTGTCTACACAACAACAAGAAAAGGAACAAATCCGCCAGTTCCGTGGATTCCCTCTGGCGCTCTGCTGGCAGATACGGAGTAAGACTGACGCCAGCCCCGACAGCTGTGCTGTCCTCTGCGTCCCGGTCTCCATGTGAATCTTGCCCCCCTGGGACTAGGAAGGACCCTGCCCTGCTCCGCTTCTCTGCCAACTCCTTGTCCCTGCTTCGGAGAACAGAATCTGGAATTCTCAAACTATTGCTAGGACATGACCAGCCTTCAGGGACGACAGCACATTCAGTCAGCTCACCTACTGGGGAGACAGGGATGTTAACACTCCCAGCCCTGGCTTAAGGAACCTGAGGCTTGGGAATGCTCACTGCCTGCCCCGGGCCCACCGCAGATAGGCAGTTCGGTATCCAAGCAAGGCTTCCACCCCTACTGCCCAGGTCTCCTCCTGCCCAGCAGGCTTTCCTCAGCTACACGTTCACTTTTTGGTTTTATAACAACTTTATTACACTATTACTCAATTTTTTTCTACTAGTCTGTCCTGTCTCTTACCCACAGGCTTCCCAAGTTTAGCTGTTACAATAACATTCATTAACTGATGGCAGCAGCAAAAAGAAAAGTGATAAATATTATTGTAGAAGGCTTTTAAAATATAGAAGTCCAATAAAGAAAATAAAAGCGGCCCATAATCCTTCCATCCAGAGATAACTGCTTGTAACATTTTGTTGCATAGGGCTTCTAATACGTAATATGTCTAATATATGCACATTGCTCTCCATAGCTACATAAAAAGATATAACTATTCAAAATGAGGATCATAGCACACAGAGTTTTGAAATCATGTCTACTGGAATAAACCATAAGCATGTCCCTGAGCCATTAATCCTCCACATCACCAGTGCCAGGGCTGGTGTATGTAAGAATAACAGAGTTTGCCCGAGTTACACTTACAGTGGGCACTTTCAGTTGTTGCTACTACTAGGAGGGGTGCTGGTAGAAATGGCCTTGCTCCTACATCTCAGAGCTCTGGCCCTGTCTGCAACTGTGGTCTGAAACTGTCCCCCTCTAAGAAAGGGTGGAAAAAGCTGGTGATCTCAGGCCTTGACCACATGTTAAGCTTCTGTGTGGGGAATTGTACCCGACCTCTGGGCTTTACCAGTGTTCCCCCGCAGGGCTGAAGAAACACCAGGCAGGGACCAAGCCTTGGACAAGGAGCTGGAAGGCCTGCTGTCCTCCCAGGGCCCACCACTGACCCACTGGGTGGCCACAGCAGTCTCTGCCCATCTCTGGCCATCAGTTAGCTGGCTTGATCCTCTGCAAGTAAGAGAGGGCTGTGGAGTGAGGCCGAGGTTCTAGCTTGCATGGTTCTAGCCTGCATGGTTCCACTCAGCCTTCCCAAATGTTGGTTTCTTCGACCCATGAAATCGTGGCTCATAATGTCAACTAGAAGACGTGCTGCTGGGATTGGAGAAGTATGCGAACACTTGGCACATAGTAGGTACTCAAGAAGCATCCATAATCATCATAAGTTTTTCTATTAAACTCAGAAGAGGAGGCTGGGGGTTAAAAGCTGAGGTACCTGAGATCTGACCCAGCTCTATTATTTCTAAGCTGTGTCGTCTTGCCTGGGTGACTTAACTTTTCTGTGACTTCATTTTTTCAGCCTGTGTATAAGATGAGGATGATTACGTTCCTTCTGTGAAGGTGGGAGGGAAGGTTAAATAAGAGGCTGTACAGTACACGCCTGACCCAGGCTGAGCACACAGGAGTCTGTGCACCAGGACTTGCCTTGCTCAGGGCTGTTGTGCTGGCTGATGCTCAGGTTGGTTTCTGGGGTCCCCTCTGGTACCGGTTCACCAGAAAGCTCCGTGTCCTCCAGGGGAGAAAATGAGGTTGGAGGTGTGTTTATGGGTTCAACTTTTGCTTCTTTAGCCTGAAGGGAGGAAAAATAAGATTCAAAAGATTTATTTGGCAGCACAGGAAAAAAAAGTACATTGGAGAAATTAATTTATCTACAGAATGCTAAGTAAACCCAGAAGAAAGCCCACTTGCTGTGTTCCTGATCATCGCTGCATCTCCCGGGCCAGCAATAGGTGCACACTAGAGTAGTCAATCCCATTCCATTTACAAGGAGACTCGATCATCTCAGCCAAAGCCCTCTGAGCACGGGGACCACATTTCTGTGATCCCTGCATCCCAGGCCAGCACAGAGAAGATGCTCAGTAAAGATCTGTGTGCTGAGGGAATGGATGGATGCAGGGACAAATGCACACACCTGGCGGTATTTATAAATGCCATGTAAATCAAATCCTACTTGTGCACTGGTGATAATGGAAAGTTTCCTTCCAAGCAAACACCAGCCCTGTACAGCCAACCAGTGTCCTAACCAACCTTACCAGTAGGGAAAAACAAGCAAACAAATCCCTAACAGCTAGAAATAGAACAGTTCAGAGCTCCAGGCAGAACTCCTGATGCAGGTCTTAAACTTCATGGCACCACACTCCGACCCCAGGAGCAGCTTGTGAGAACAGGCTCTTCAGCAATCAAAGAGTCTCATCACTTTCTAAACCTGAGGTTGCAAGGGATAGGCTGGGGACATCTGAGTACAAGGAACTAATATCAACAAGAAACAAATCTTTGCTGTGTTAAGGTGCTAAGATTTTAGGGTTAATTTGTTACCAGAGGGTCATTTTTCTATCCTTGTAACAGAAGACTATGTCCCTCACGTCAGAATCTAGAACACAGAGATTCTCAGAGCCCCATAATTTAGGATTTACCGGCCCAGTTCTCACAGTCAGACTTGGGTCCAATCCCAGCTCTCAACTTATTAGCTAAGTTATGTGGGGCCAAGTCCTATAATCTCACAGGCTTTGGCTTCTTCTTCAGTACAGTGGGGACAATAATAAATATTCCAGGATAGAACTGCTCAGCACATGTTTATTTCTAGTACTGAATCATTCCATATGCCTCATTGAAGAAAACTGCAAGTGGGGATGAACAGAAATAGAAAACAGTCACCTTGAATACCAACACCTAGAGAAAACCACTGTGGAAGGTATTGCACGGTGAAGTCTCCGGGCGGAGGTGGGAGCGATGGCTGCAAGGAGCCTGGCCTTGAATAGTGAGCAGAGTTTCTGAACACGGGACGAAAGGGAGTGTGGGTGAGGTCAGGGCGTGACACCCCGAGCTTGGCAAAAGCTGAGGGTTGGAGGAAGAGGGCAAGGGAGTGAGGAGGGCTGGGCCATTGGTGAGACGGCCTTGGAGAAGGGGAGGAAGGGCACTGCTATGGGGTGTTAGGCTGCTGAGTGGCTTGGTCCACTGTGGGCTCTGGACAGTCTACTCAGTGCAATGGGAGCAAGGGGAGCAGAGGTCCAGGCCAGGAGGCCGGTGGGTGCACTGAACAGGCCCTCGAGGCAGGGACTCGAGGCAGGTGGGGACAGAGCCGGAACCTCTCCGCGGAGACTTACCCACCTCCCAGCGGGATGGGTGGTAAGGACTCCTGCTCCGCAGGTGCTTCTCCTCCCCTTGCACGGGGTCCAGGCGGAAGTCCAGGAGAAAGCCAGATGGTGCCAAGAGAGCCAGGAAGGCCTGTTTCTAGCCTTGAGTGAGGCCAAAATGGCCGGCAACAGAGCTGTTTCCGGAAGTATTTGGGCATTGGAATAGGGAGGTGGGGGAGGCAAGGCTGCAGGAGCACAGGAGGACACTGCAGTGGCGGGCTGAGCTCTGTTACTCAGGGTGGCCGAGTGACATCCCTGACTCCAGCCCGTCAGTTAAAAACTTCTTTGGCAAATCCTAGCCAGACAGCCACAGCCACCCCACCTGGGCCCTGCTGCAGGGCAGAACACGCATCTGGTAAGTTGGTGCTCCATGGGGAGACTGAGGTGCCCGGGCACGTGGCTGTTGGCTTTCAGAGTAACATGGATGGGGAACCATTGCGTCCTGTGACAAGGCAAAAACATGGAGTCTTAGGACTAACGACAGTTCAAGTTCTTAAAGGAGTGTGACTGGCTCAGCCCACACTCATATTCACATGGTCAGAGGTACTGATTTCACACACATGTCCTGAAGCCCTGGAGATAGCCCTGGAGCCCTGGAGGGCTGGAGCCCTGTGCCAAACCCTGGAGATCAGGGAATGAATAAAGAAGACCGGGTATCTGCCCTTGCACTGTTAGACCTTGGGGGAGCACAGACCAGACACAAATAACAGTGACTTAATAAGACACATAGCATCGCAGCGGTGACAGCCAAGGCAGAAGCAAGGCCGGGCAGGCGTGGGCTCTGAGGGCAAGATGTGGACTGGACGCCAAGGGGTGGGGAGGTGTCTGCCAGGTGGGAGTGGGGAGAGGGTGGCTATAGGTAAATGAAACCACGGGAACCAAGGCATGGACAGCAGGGAGAAGGCCCCAGCTGGGGTGTCTGGAAAACTGTGAAGGTTCGGGGGTGGCTGGAGGAGAGATCCTGGCTTTGCACCACAGTCACCTGCAGGGCTCTTTAATACAGATTCTTGGACCTCACCTCAGACCCACTGAATGTCCACATCAGCAGCCTGGGCAAAACTCTTTGCTTAAAGCTAGCCCCCCTCCACCTCTCCTCCCACGGGTGACCCAAGGCAGTACCAGGGCTAAGACTCATTCTAATTCTGCATAAGATAGAACTTCCCAGAAATGCAAACAGGCTCTGGCCCTAGATAGGGAAGAAGGCAAGAAAAGGTTGATTTTTAACTCCTGACCCTACAGAAAGTCCTTGGTTCAGTTTACTGGTTATAGCTCAAGTCTGGGAGAGTGGCAGGCAGAAAAGGCTCAAGACAGGGAAGTGAGATTCATCCGCATAAAGAAGCTAGACAGAGCTGGGAGGGGCCCGTCTGAGACGAGGAGGGAAATTCCCTGTCATGGGTGATGGCGGCCAAAAAAAGCCACAAAGCCTTTCCGAGAGACGATAGAGAGGGAAGTCCCCAGGGCAGTGTACTTGATCTGGAGCCAGGACCTGGCTCTACCACCCTTGGGCTGGACAGCCAAGAGCCAAGTGCTCATCACTCTTCCCCTCTGTGTCCTCTTCTACCCTTCCTGAAAGGGGACTAAAGTGTGAGCACCTGGCTGAGCATGACCCATGCACAGGAGGAGGGGTGTGTGAGGAAGGGATGCTAAGGATCAAGTGACAGGACCAATCTGTCAGCCCCAGAGCCATGGCCCAGGGGAAGTCTTAACGAGCGGGAACAGCCACAGGGCCTTGACACTCCTGGCAGGCCCAGCCACAGCCACCAGAAAGTAGGTGGAAGGAGGGGCTCAAGAGGAAGGAAGTCCAGCCCTGAGCTTTGCTCAAACCTCACAATAATCATCACTTGCTAGTCGCCACAGTGAGCATTTGCCCAAAGCTGCTGGGCCAGGCACTGCCCAAGTGTTCTGCATGGGGCCATTCATCTGCCTCGCATGCTAACCCACGAAGCAGGGATGCTCCCCTGCACCAGGGCAGGAAGCCGAGACTCAGAGAAGCTGGCACTGCGGAAGGTCAACAGCTAGTGAGGGGCAGACCTGGGGCCCACACCGGTGGGACTCTGGATCTGCACCAGTTCTCTTAAAAACTACTCAGAGCACTGGGGCTCAGGAACCTGACAAGGAGGTAAGAAAGTGTGCAGCACACCCCAGAGGCCTCCCGGCGGGATTAATTACCACCAGGGCACACCTCTTCCAGGCCTGGGAGTTGTGGCCATGCCCAAGGACACAGCATATGGTGTGGGCTTTCTTCTGGGCTTATTTAGCATTTTGTGGATAAATTAATTTCTCCAATGAAGTCACCCATCAGATCACCCACAGCCTCTTCCTCTTCACTTCTTCCGGCTGTCTAGGAACTCACTGCATCCCCGCTCTGTTTGCTGTCTGCCCCGAATCTGTCCTGCGAGGGGAGCCACCTGGGGAGCCGGTCAGGCCAGGCTCGAGTCCTGACTGCCACCATGTGGCTCACAGGAGCACCTGGCCCTGCTGGGCAAACATCTCCAGATCTGTACCCTGGGGCGGAGGCCACCTCCCTTGCGGGGCCTTGGAAGGAATAAGAAATTGCACACACAAAACTGCCATCCACCTGTGGGTATGGAAAACACCAACTTGCTTCCTTCCCACTGCTTCTCCACTCCTGTCCCATGCCACCTGGCTGCAGAGTCAGCTCCCAAGCGCTTCGGCCTCATCTCATCCCTGTGACCATCTCAGGCTCTCAAACTGCTTTGTTTTCTCTAGAACCAACAGAAATTACTGGCGACACTGCGTCAGTGAGCCTCCCTCCACGTTTTAGGCCGTTGTACGGGGGGTAGCATCAGGTTTGAAGTCCCAAGGACACTCTGTGCCTTGCTGCTGATGGGGCAGCCCAGAGCTGATGGGCACACAGGACTGCAGCACTGCTCAGAGCAGCCGCCACCCCAGTCGCCAGGTGAGTGGGTCCCCTGACCTCCCCAGCCCAAGAGTTTGCCACAGCCCTGAGAATGGACTTGCACAAAGCCACTAGGCTCTGGACCATGGCTGGGCATCAAGAGACCCAGGCTTCAGCACCAGCTCTGTCCATGGACTCCAGGGCTGGTCTCTTCCTCTGTCTGGGCCTCAGTGTGCCCGTCTGTACCAGGAGCACTTTCTGTGTACTTCTGTACAGGAAGAGGTGACCATGAAGTCCTTCCGCCACTAGCAGCCTATGATCCTACTCTGCCACACCTACGTCCCTGTCGCCCAAGTCCCAAAGCCTCTGCCTTCTCTCCATCTGCCTGCTTTCTTTCATCAGAGGTGAGTTCAGAGTGAGCCAGGGCATCCCAGGAGACAGCTGGTGCTTTCTGTGCTTGCTGTTGCTCCTATTAAAAAGGAGGTTCCTTATTGTTCCCATAGTCTGACTCAGGGCTTTTAAAACCACTTCCTAGCCTTAGCCACAGAGTGCATTTCCGGGGGGCGGGGCCCAGGTGTAACTGGCAGCTCTAGGAGAGTGAGCTCCAACTTTGCCTTTATGGCTGGAGCCCCAAGGAAATGTGACAACGTCCATCACCTGGAGCCACGTCCTTTTTCTCAGGTGCTGACTGAGACTCTGCCCTCCAGTACCTCATCTAATGCTCTCCGCAGCCCTACAAGACAGACCTATTATTATCATGACTCTGCAGAAGAAATGCTGAAGTTCAGAGCGGGTGGGTAAGTTATTCAAAGCCACAGAGCTAGAAAGTGACTGGGCATAATGTGTGCCTTTGGGCAGCACTCTTGTGGCTGCGTGCACAGGGCCCAGGGTAAGCAGTACACCAGCTCACCCGGGGAGCTTGCAAAAGCCCACTGGCCAGGGCCCCCTCAGCTGCCCAGAAGATCCACTGATTACTCTCACATCAGAACACAGAAACTTCAGACCTGGGCCCTGGGCATCGGCCCTGAACAGCTGACCCAGCCCGTACTAACCGGAGCTTGAGTGTAGGTGACGGCCTCTAAGATCTCAGCAACAGTCTCCGCTTCAGACTCCTGAAGGCCACTGGCTTCTCCTGAGGCCTGTGTGGAGATAAACCGTGACACGTGGTGGCCAAGGAGAGCAGGTCACAGGGGAGTCGGGCGACTGGGACCACAAGGAACCTACAGGGCAACTCCCACAGAGGAACTGCGCATGTCAGAGGCAGGATGGAGTTGAAGAGACAGCTTGTGTGCAGTGTGCCTGGTTGGTTATTCTTTTTGCTTCCTTCCACATTTTATTGCTCAAACAAAAATCAATCATTTTACATTCTAACAGGTCCACTGCTCTTTTGTCCAGGTTCCTGTCGCTTCCAACCTTTGCAAGGCTGTCACTGGAATCCCACTTTAGGAACCATACACACCGAGGAGGACATCCTGCTGTTACCTAATCTTTATAATTATCCCCCTAGAGGCAATCAAGTCATCTGCATGCTGTGGGTTTTGCACTGTCTCTTGTTCATGGGCTCCTAAGTGATTTCTACTTCTTCAATACTAATGGCAGGGCATGGAGGAATGACTGACAAGCTTCCCTTCAGCAGGCTTGCTGCAAGTACCAGGGCAGGTCACAGGCTCAAGGAGCTCTGACGTTCCTACAGAACCAAACCTATCTTTGGGGGCTTTTCAACTCAATTGATGGCTTTTTAAAGGAACATTAAATTAATGAAATCAACCTAGAAGTTGTTTTGGGGTTGATACCACCCAAAGAACACCGGAGAAATGCCACCCGCTGCTTGCTTCCACCTTTGGTATCACGCTCCCCTGTCTGCCTGGAAGGCCTTCTAGACACAACTTGCTTCAAGCTCCTCCTTCCTCTTCCTGATCCCTGGCCTGCTGAGCTGGGTCTGAGGGCCTCCTGGAGCATCACTCACTCAGCTCTGTCCCTGCATTTGTAAGTAAGTGTGTGCCGGTAGCCAGAGGGTGGGGGCAGGTTCCAGCTTATCCTTGTATCTCCAGCATCCACCCAGGGCTGTCATCTACCAGCCATGCAGTAACTCCTGGAGGGAGGGAAGGAAGGAGGGAGCCATCTTTTCCCTGCCCACCCTTCCCCCAGTTTGGGAACTGATTCACTTGCCAGGCATAAGACAAACTTAAATTTAGGTTCATTTTTATAGGAATTTACGCCCAGAATAGCTTAGAGTTCTAACTCTGATTTTAGAATTCTGACACCCTTCTTGGCAGGAAGGCTGGAAACCAGGCCACTGACTGCCACGGAAGAGCCTAACACCTTATAAGACACAGCACCCCTCCACCCAAGAGAGAGCTGAAGCTCTTTAACAAAGTCAAAAAAGCCAAAAGCCCAAAATAGGCCTTGAGCCATCCCTGGCCAAGATGAGAGGGTTGAGAGACTCCATGACGTGGAGGAGGAAGAATTGCTGGGCTCCCAGCCCCTCCCTGGCCAGGGGCTGCTGGGGCTGCAGGGCCTCTGTGGCAGGCAGGGAGCTCACCGACGACTCCTGGGCTTCACATAGCTCCTCTGGAGTCCTGGGGTCAGCGTGGATGGTCAGCTGCTGTAGAGCCCCCTGGGGAGAAGTGGAGGAAGAGGAGCCATCGGATACACGTCTGCAGTGCAGATGCGGGGCACAAGGGGACGTCCGTGTGACAGAGAACAAATGAAAGGACAAGTGGGAGACTGTGCTGCCTGCCACTGTGACAGGAGAGCCACTCCATCTCTTGGCCCCCTCCCTGTTCTGGGGCATCTCCATGGAACACTACGACAGGAGCCCGCTTAGCCAGAAAGGTGCGTGCAGAGCACTGTGAGGACCACACAGCAGCCTCCTGTCCCCGGCCTGGTAAGTTGACTCCCAACAAGTAAAGGCCTATCCCAAGGAGAGCTGCGGCAGTCTCCCTGCCCCCACTCCCACCAATCCCTGGACACCAAGGGGAGCAGGTAAAATTGCCTGGACCCTAAGTCCTACACATGCTCCAGCACCTCCATTGCTCTACAAGTAAACACACTCTGCCCCGCAGGATTGCCTGGTCCACCAACAAAATCGGTAAACAGTGCTTTTTAAAAAAGGAGAGAGAGAAGTTCCCTCTCACCCCCATACTGGAGATTTGTCTACCGTAGTGGAAATTACTTAAGTGCAACGGCCACCCATATCCAAGGACATGATTAATCTCTTTCTAAACCATAGCCTAAAATGTAGAGCATTTTCACCTATCTCTGTGAGTCTGTAGGGTGGGTTTTCTCATTTTTATGGTCAGATGGGAAAGCAGAGAGAATCAGAGAATCTGTTCTCCACCTAAATCAGCAGGCTAAATGGAAAATGGAGCACTGGAACCGAGGTGCTTTGAGCTCCAGGCATGGTGTTTGTCCCACTGTAACACACATACATTTTTAAGGACATCGGAATAAAATAAAAGCAATAATAGTTGCAGGTATTTAGTGTACTGGACTCCATGTCCACTGGCTTCTCTGATCTGCTGGGAGTGGACTTGAACTCACGGTAAATCTGTCCAGTCCCGTGGCGCCCGCGCTGCCCACGAAGATCCCTGTGCTGGGATCGAAAGCCAAAGGGCGGGAGGACCGCTGGAAGAGGGCCTGGCTGTGCTCCTCACAGTCCATGAGGAGGGTCACCTCCTCTCCCTGGACGATCACCGCAAAGTGGTTCCACCTGTTGGCCATCACAGGCACGGAGAAAACAGCAGCTTCATGGGACACATGAGAGCCAGGCTCTGTGTAGTAGAGGATGACCCGCTGGTGGCCGTCCTCCACACCCGAGAGCCGCAGGCCTAGGTAAATGACCTTCTGGAAGGCGTCAGTAATGGCAAAAAGCACCCCGCCTCGGGTGCTGCTGGGCTTGACCATGACACTGATGGCGAAGTCCCTGAAGAAGGTGGGCGGGATGAGGGTCCTAGCTGGGCGGCCAATGTTGGCGCCAGGCCCGAAGCTGTAAGCTGGGAAGCCACCGTAGCCTGTGACAAAGGACACAGAGGAGGGCAGTGGGACGCCGATGAGCTGTGTGAGGTCCAGATGGCCTTGGGAGGCTGAGTCTGCAGGAAGGGAGAGAGAACACACTTCAGACATCTAGGCTACCCAGCTTCTACATGGGGACAAGCAGTCATAAGACAAATGGGATCTCTCAGGAACTACTGAAACTGTAGTTTCTTTTTTTTTCCTTTGGTACCAGGAATCAAACTCAGGACCTTGTGCTAGCCAGGCAGGCACTTGTGCCACTGAGCTATATCCCCAGCCCTGAAACTACAGTTTTTAAATTGCTGTTTTCAAACTTTTTTGGCAAAAAACCCCAATATGAAACTCATTTACATTGCAACGCAATATGCACATGTGTAGATAAATATGTATCTGTAACACTGAAACAAATGTGTCATAAAACACCATATTGACTTTTAATACTCAACATGCCCTCAGATATTTCCCCTTACATTTAATTATCATTTTCTCCTTTATTTTATTAAACACATGTTGGAATAACTTACTGAATTGATTTCATTACCCACTAGTGGATTATGATCCACAGTTTGGAAAACATTTACAAATCATTCCGGGAATAATCTTAGAATATATAATGTTCCCCTATTAAACCGGAGACTTCTTCCCCTACTCTAAAACTGGATAGATTTGTTTTGGTTTGTTTTTAATGAGGTCTACTGTCTAAGTGCCTCGGAGTGTCAGGCAAAGAACACAGGGACAGACTGAAATGTTCTCAGACCTCAGGAAAACTGAAATTTGCATCATTCTAAAACCGCTTCATCATCATTATCCTCTTCCTCCTCCTCCCATTCTTCACAGTCCTAGGCTCTTTTCCAAGCTTTTCATGTAATTTAGTTCCCCTGATCCTCACCACAACCCTGTGAGATGAGGCACTATTGTCCCCATTTTACTTTGGACAAAACTGAGACTTAGGTTAACAAGGTAAGTTCCACGCAGGATTCAGACCAGAACCTTGGCCCCCAGTTTGATCCAGCTGGGGGTGGGGAGCACTGATAGAGCCCTATTACAGTGGCCTGAAAAGGACCCAAGACAGTGTCCCTGGCAAAAGGCTGCAGTCTAGCTTGTAGTGACGGGCACACACTGCCGAGCCTATGTCCAGGGTACCAGCTGTGAGTCAGGAAGGCAGGTCCCAGGAAGGAGTAGACAAGTCCTGTGCAGCCAGGACAATGGGAGCACACACAATCATTGTGAAACATTCTGGTTATGCAAAATAGGATAAAGAATATTATGAGGCACTTAAAATGGTTAAAATGACAAATTTTATCGCAATCAATGACGCAAGTAGCTCATAAGGATTGTGAAGATTAAATGACATAATAGGGGGTGCTAAGATTTAGAAATGCTTAGAAATGCTCAGAAAGACATTGGTTATTATTGCCCTTGTTTTTGTCCTCCTCCTCATCATGAGAATTTCAGGTTCAGAAAGGAAACTTAGGTCACCTGACATGACCTTAACCTGAGATGCCCGGTGCAGCAGCTATTGGTCACTTACGGCTACTGGGCCCTTGAAACAGGGGTCTTTCCAACTGTGATGTGTCATGAGTGTAAAAGGAAAGCTGGGTTTCCAAAGCCTTTTTCTTTTTTTTTTTTTTTTTGGTTCTGGGAATCAAACTCAGGGCCTCGCGCTTGCCAGGTAGTCAAAGACTTAATTTAGAAAAAGGAATGTGAAATATCCCATTAATAATTTTTTATTAAGTTTATTGGTGCCATTTAGATATATACATGACGATCACATTCATCATAGGGAATCTGTACCTGTACATGGTATATTTTGGCTCCTCTTTTTTTCCTATTCCCCTCCCCTCCTTCCAATCCCGCTTCCCCTCCTTATTTTTATAACAATTACATGTTGAAATGATTGGAAAATATTGAGATAACTGTTATTAAAATATTTTAAAGAATAACATGAGAAACAAGCATGTGCCCCCTCTCCATTTAAGAAAGAAAACACCCGTCAGCCCAAGCTCTCGTGAACTCTCTGCAGTCTACTCCTCCGCCCACACCCAAGGAGCCACTCTTGGGACTTGGGTGCTAATCCTGCTGATGAAGTTGTTTGTGTGTTTACTAAACAGCTCTGTGTCTCTAGAAGAATGAAAAACCATTGTGCACATTTCTAAACCGCAGAAATATTGGTGTGATGCATGCATTCTTTTGGCTTTTGCTTTGTGGTTTTGTTAAACTCAACACTGTGTTTTTCGATTTATTCTTGTTAACACACATGGCTCTGGGCTTTTATTCTCACAATAGCCCTCTATGGTATAAAACCACCACAATGGGTTAATTCACTTCTCTGGTGATGGAGAGTGAGGTTTCCATCAGTGTCACCAGTGGAATTGCTGTGGACTTCCTTATCGTCATCTGTGCAGGTAGTCATACCACCTTAGCTTACCTTGGCAGGTAACCCTACCGCCTAGAGGTGGACTATCTATTGGATGATATGGGTGTGTGCACCCGCCACAGCACTGGATGCTACAAGACTGCCCTCCGAAGTGAGTGGGCCATGTACACACCCACTAGCCACATATTCTTGCCAGCACTTGGGGGACACAGACAGGTACCACTTGGGAGAGGTCCGGGGAGGAGTTCTGACTATAGTGATAATGTTCATAATTAAAACTAGGTGACATTCCAAAGAGGCACTTATTGTACTATTCCTTATAACAAATTTCATAGAAAACATTTCAAAACAACTGAAAACAATTACTCTATCCTCCACAAACAAGCAAATCTGTACGCGTTGGTGCCCTGCTTAGAAACCTTCCACAGCTATCTAGGACCCGTGGGGGTGCAGCTACCACCCGGTTTAAGAGGCCTTTTGTGGTCTGGAGCTGGTGCACTCTTTACCCCCAGCATGTCTGACACAGTCCCCAGCTGGCCCCAAGGTGCCTCAAGTCTTCCCAACTCACTAGGAAAGTTTTCCGCTCTGGTGTCCTCCAGCCCCATCCCAGGTATTTTGCCCAAGCAACTCCTGCTAATCATTCAAGACTCAGCCCAAGCCTTGCCTCCCTGGGAGTCCCTTGTTGCACCTTCCCTGCCCGCCCTCTGTGCCCCTTGCGGCTGCACTAGAAGCTCCCTGGATGCACACAGGAGTTCTCCATCAGAGCCCCCAGCACACCAAATGTCACTGTTGGCCCCCTTATCTCTCTCTCCACTGGACAATGAGGGCAAAGTTCCACCATTCATCACCATGTTCCCAGTACCCAGCCCAGGGCCAATGAATGAAGGAATGAACGAATGAGTGAAGAACAAACTAATGGATGGAGGGATGGATGGATGGATATAGGAATGAAAAAAATCCAATCCCCTCATTTTACAAAACACTGCACTAAAGTTAATAGAGGGGAAGTGTCTGTGTACTATGAACTCAAATTTATTTTCAATTGAATACAAATTTTAAACAGAAATTAATTTTAAGTATTTGGGGTTTAGCTCTCAAATCCTAGAAAACATAAGTTAAAATACATAAATCTGATTACATGAAAACAAAGTTTTGTCTAGTAAATTAAAAAAAGATAATTCCCAAAATGTCAAACAAACACCAAAAGCTGAGAATAGTGTGTGTATGTATGTATATATATATATCTCACAGACAACAAAATTATTTCCCTAAATATACAAAGCAAATGAATAAAGATGAAAGCAACAACTCAACAAAAACTCAGCAAGAAATTGGAAATTCTACCCACAAAAATAAAAATGGCTCATATATGTGCACCCATGTTTATAGCAGCCCAGTTTGTAACAGCTAAATCTTGGAAACAACCCAAATGCCCATGAATCATAGAATGGATAAAAAAGATGTGGTATTTTTATATAATGGAGTACTACTCAGCTATAAAGAAGGACAAACTTGAGGCTTTTTGAAGTAAATGGATGCAACTAGAGACCATACTCATAAGTGAAATAAATCAAACTCACATGTGTAAATATCATCTTGTCTCCCGATTGTAAGAAACTAAAAGAGTAAATAAGATACAAAATCTGCAATAGATATATATTGAAGAAAGGGGAAAAAACTGCTCAAAAAGAAAGAACAACTGGGATGGGGGAAAGGAGAAAAGAAGGAAAGGAGAATTTTATATATATATATATGTATATATACACACACACACATATATGTGATAGCTAACATAATTATACTACTAATTTCTTTTAGTTCCTTGGAAAGATCGGTTTGTGCTTACATTTGTTGCTTAATTTTGCATGCCTATATCTTGTAATCTGAGCAACTACTTTGAAGACAACAATATACAATATATTAACCATTGTTAATTTATTATTACTCTGTTTTGAAACTCTGTATTATTGTTTTTATTTTTTTATCTTTCTTTAAAATAAGAAAAAAATTTGACCCTACTTTTAACGAGAGCAATACAAGTTAAGATTACAAAGAGATACTATTTTCCCTGTAAGACTGGCAAAGATCAGAATGTTGGATAATAGGCTATGTTGACAAGAGATCAAGTCAACACGAAGCCCTCTCAGGCACTGCTGGCAGGAGTGTAAACTGGTATCATGTAGTGGGAGGTAATCCGATATTTACCAAGGTTCAAATGCACATGTGCTCTTTGATCCGGCAGTTATACTTCCACGATTTTTAAATAAAGTTACATACATGAAATATAAAGCATCATACAAAAATACCTATTGCAGTATTGTTTAAAATTTACCTAAATGTTCATCTTTGGGAATGGTTAAGTAATAAGTTATAACCTGTTAATACAATGAACCACAATGCAGCCTTTCAAAAGATGTGGTGCTTCATGTACTAACATGAAGCAATCAGCAAGATGTATTATGTAAAAAGAAACCCCAGTACCCAAGGAGGCTGAGGCAGGAGGGGTATAAGTTTGAGTCCCACCAGGACAACTTACTGACACCCTGTTTCAGAAATAAAAAGTATAAAGAGCTGGAGATAAAGCTCTGTGGTAGAGCATCCTTGAGTTTGGTCACCACTACTACTACTACAAAAAAGATAAAAACACAAAAAAAAACCAAAGTACAGAATAAATTGCCATCGGTTCAAAACATATTAGTA